TGGCATTCCGACAGCGCGCAGAGTGTTGGTGCTGCGAGTGGACTCGGTGTGGGCGCCCGCGCGGTTGGCCGTCGCCGCATTAGCCGCTGCCGGTGTGGCACTAGCGCTAGCGTTTTTGGCATTCAACTTGCATTATAGTAAACGAAGGTAGGTAGATATGGCTTCTAGAGCTTTATATGTCCGTCTTCTCTCTAAATTTCGTCCTCGGTTCCGATCCACAGACGTGAGTGGCACTGGACCTGATCCATTACTTCAAAGTTGATCTGCTATGAGATATTTGCTAGTTCTTAACGTCTCCATAAATTTATTTCTGCAGATCAATAAAGCTTTCATCTCCTCGTCTTAACAATATGACTCTGATCGGATGTGTGCTGGTGTACACGGCGGTGGCACTGCTTGGAGTCGACAACGCCACGTTACCTTCTTTCGTGCCATTCTCCGCGATGTGTACCGTAAGTATAGCATCTCCCAACTTTATTCTGAGGCTGATGCCAGAGTATAAATCGATCTGTATGAACCACTATGAGAATAGGCAATTATTGTCTTACGGTACATTTGATACCACTTTGTTTCTTTCCAGGGTAGAGTCTACATCCTTTCGGCGGGATTCTCTTTAGCATTTGGATCAATGTTTGCTAAGACTTATAGAGTTCATCGAATTTTTATAAGGTGAGTTTGACCTTTTACAAATATCAGTCTAAAATTTAAAAGTAAAATTAAAAAGCAATAGTTTTTTTTGTTTTACTTACAGCAATCGCAGTGGTGTTTGCAAAACAAAGCTCCTTCAAGATACGCCGTTGATATCTCTGGTATGCGCGCTGTTGCTCATCGATGCACTGATAGTGACGTTGTGGGCTATCCTCGACCCGATGGAGCGCCACCTCAAAAACCTTACCATAGAAATCAGCGCCACAGACCGAAGCGTCGTCTACCAGCCACAGGTTTGTTATAACAGGCCAAGATGTCAGAAAGACACTTAATTATAGCATAATAGCGTACCGCTTATCGGAAAACTCTAATTCCATAGTAGTTTTCTACCTTGCATACCCGCAATCTTGAAGGTTGTATTTCCCTTTTTCTACTCCATTTTGACTTTAGATTTAGAATTTATGTTTTAAATAATTGTCATTATATTACAAATGTATCGAAAATCATAGAAAATTATGACAATGATAAACTCAGCAGACATAAATCTCTTCCAGATAGAAGTGTGCAAATCACAAAACATGACTGGCTGGCTGTGCGCACTGTACGCTTATAAAGGGCTGTTGCTGATCGTGGGCGTGTATATGGCGTGGGAGACACGTCACGTCAAGATCTCCGCCCTCAATGACTCCAAGTACATCGGCATCAGCGTCTACTCCGTTGTCATCACCAGCACCAGCGTCGTCGTTATTGGAACCATCATCTCCGAGAGAGCTACCTTAGCTTACATAACTATCACCAGTCTAATCCTCATCGCGACCACATCAACTCTATGTCTTCTTTTCCTGCCCAAGATTATTGCTATAAGAAGTAAAAGTATGTATATCTTAATATGAAACTTCTCTTATAATAGTCTCTATTTCATGAAGAACAAATCTACGTGATGACAGCTAAGTCACTTCCTTTTGTAATAAGTCTAGATATTTTTATCATGCATAATTTTAGCAAAATCTATTAGTACAACATCATAGCCATCATTGCAGATTAGAAGAGATTTTTAAAAACTAGCAGCACAGGCACTTCATTATTTCTTCTTCAAAGTGTTTTCAGAGTATTTAAAGGATTTTGTATTTGACTTAGACTAAGAAATATTAGTGCAAGTTTTCATGTTAAGATTTCCAAACAGCAGCAACAAGTTTGCTGTTTTTTAGATCTTTACACTAAGTTAGTGTTATGAAAGAATCAATGTGAAATATGATATTCCAGCGGAAGATGATCCAGTAATACAGAGTATGGGTTTAAGACTGGAATGTAAGACGAGAAGATTCGTCACCGACGAGACTCAAGAGCTACACTTTAGAATCGAGATACAGAACAGAGTGTACAAGCGCGAGGTGGCAGCACTCGACAGAGAGATCGGCAGGTTAGAGAGGCTGCTCGCAGAACCCTTGGAATCTGCAAGCTCGAGTGCCTCTGTAGTACTACATAGACGGGTAAGTACACCTTATTGATTTTATTTTACAAGGTGATCAAGAAGACAAGTTCGAAGGTGACATAACATAAAGATCACACGATCGTTTAAGTTCCCATTGTTCAAGAGTTTACTTACTTAGAGGAATGTGCAAGGAGTTTCAAACATAGCAATTTTTTTTTAGACAATCATCTTCGTTTAGCATCACGCGGCTACTGTAAACATTAAAGTAAACCACTATAGATAAATTAGAAGTTTTATGATTAGAAATAGATTTCATTATTTAATAGAGTGTTGGTAGTTTTTCAAGTTTAGCATTACATTAAACCAAATTGTATTGACAACTTATCAATTAACTTTTTATAAATCTTTCAGACTGAACTAAATACAGTAGAGGAAGAAAGCAAAGGCAATGGGGGGTTGGAGAAGAGAACGCCAAGCATCAGCGGTGGACTGCCCATGCTTCTGCTGTCTGTGCTGCCGCCGGTCATCCCGCGCGCCAGCTGGCCTTCTGCCGAGGCTTGCCGCGCCAGGAACTCAGTAAGCTTTAGCTCGCAACCCAAACTAAACTATAGGAAATCTCAGCCGGCAATAGACCTCTACAACCTCTGCCTAAACAAAAGAGACGAGAACCACGGCTTCCTCAGTAGATTAAAAAATTTCTTCGGTAGTAGACCATCGAGTAGAAAAGCGTCCACCATGTCCATAGCGGACCCCACCGGGCAGAGCATCGCGGCTGCGCTTCGTATGCACGTGGGTATGATAGCCGGCCTCGTGCCTGGTAATAGAAAGCACTCCATGGTCCTCTCATGTAACACCCTTAACGTGCCCAACCCGGAGCTAAAATTGAGAAGAGAATCGTACGCAAAAAGCGGCCCCATAATCAGAATCATTGACGACGAACCATCTTGTTCGAAATACTCGTCCGAAAGGAGTATATCGTCGACAAACAAATACGTCGCGGAGCCCGAGACCCGAGTAAACTTCGTCCTACCCACCAGTCATAGAAAAGCGATGTCCCATCAGAACTCCAGTGAGAGGATAAAAGGTTCACCGAGGTTTCCTCACAGGATAGCTCCGAGCGCGGCCAGCCTCTCCACGCTGGACGGACGGAGGAAAACGAGCGCCGACAGTGTCTTTAACATATCCCAAGGTGTGTTTGACGAACAGCGAAGGTTCAGTCATCAGAACGTTTGTAACCAGAACCAGACCAGGGCTACGTTAGAGAGTAGGTGGAAATCTACAGAAGACGCAAGACCTGGACCTGCAGGGACCTGAATAAACTATATTTCATATTTTGTGTGCCAAGTTTGTAAACTACAAGCCAAAGTTATACATATACTCGTTATTTAATATAATGTAGGGAGTAGACTATAAATTTATTTTATTAATAGACTTTATTTCATAGTTCGTGTGAAAATATTCTGGCCTAGATATTAATGTAAAATATTTTCATATTAGACTATTAATTTTATATTTCATACCTGAATCATCCATAAAAAAATTCTACTAAATAAAGTTTTAAAGATTTTTTCAAATATTTTAGTCGAAAAAATTGTTTTTCGAATTTTTTAGAACGGCCACTTTCATTTCTATTCCCTATTCATTCTTTTGTAAAAAAATTTTAAAAAGTAAAAAATTCTAACTGCATTAGTATATAAAATTATACACAATACATTATTAATCATATCAAAATGTATTTAAGACATCTTAAAAGTATTTTAAAAGCAATATTATTGTATGTTATATACTAGAATTAAAATATTAGGTATTAGCAGAATTTCGGAGAACTATTTTCGTTTAAGGTATTTTTAGATACATTAGTGTTTCTGTCCTTTATAACTTTTAAGCATTATTCACACAGAAGAGTATAAAAGGTAAAATTAAATTAGTTTTGGAGACTTATACAGAATATTATTTGACATTTATAAAGAATACATGATAAAATTGCCAACAAGGATATCTAATCTGGTGATCAGTTTGACAGCTGACGTATCGCTATGAAGTATTGTATTAATTTTGTATGAAAATTGAAGATTAATGTTTAATTTAAACGATTGTCAGTGTCGGAACGTACGCGCATAACGAACTATGAACTATCGAAAATCGGTGTTGTAATAAATTAAATCAAACAAATAAATCCGACGATTTAGGTATTTTAATATATTTTGTATTCTTCTGTGTGATTTGTACTTTAAGGTTAATATAGTGTTCAATATTTACAAACTAAAATATAATTATCAACGGTTCTAATGTAAATATTCGTATGTTTAAAAGCGAATTTTAAGAAATTAAAACATGATTAATTACGCTGCATGCAAAATATGTCATAGACAATCGATTTTCTTTTTAATCAACATAAATTAGTTACCTATGCTTTCAGTCAAGTAATAAAAAAAAACATAAAACATCGTATGAAAAAAAAAATTATGGGATACGACTATTTACATGGGAGACATTGATATATCAATGGGTGTAACAAATGTATTATCAAATATGTATATTTGTGATTAAATTTATAGAACACGATTGGTTTCCTTAAATAATCACTAATCCCAAGTCTGAAATTTACAAAATCATATTTTAATCCAACTGTGGGGTTAGACAAAGTGCATTCGTTCCGAAGCAATTTTATAACGAACTTCAAAAATGTATAGAACTGACAATAATTTTCGAGAAGTCACGTAATCGTCGTGGATCAGTTCCAATCATTTTTGAAGTTCGCTATGGAGTCACTTCAGGTCGAATGTATTTTGTCTAGCCACACTGGGCGTTTAGTTTAGTATGAATTTAAAAAAATTTTAGGTAGGAACATAATTTTTTTAATTAAATAAAACAAGAAAAAATATTACAATTTTATTAACAACATTAATAACTGATCTATTCTTATACCTATTCGTTTAACACAAGTGCCATCGAGTTATAAATTTGCTTTTTTACAAATAAAAGCTTCATTGAATGTGTTAAATTCCAGCTCCTGTCATCCTAGCAATTCTGTCTTCGATCTGCCTCCGTATGTTGGCGTTGACATTTGGCAGGTCAATACCCTTCCTGACAGAGGTTTCTATTTTCTGGACTATGTTTATCTCCCTTGGCCATGCAACAAAGTTGGTGACAGTACAATCGTTAGTGGAACCAATGCGTCCCGTCCTTCCACAACGGTGAATGTAATCAGCAATGTAAAGAGGGAAATCATAGTTGATTATGTGACGGGTCTGAAAATAATTAACATCTATAATATTGTTGTCCATTCTAAAATGATCCAAAATAACTCATGGGAAATTTTTAAAATGCTTGTAGTGATTCAAAAACACATAAAACTCAAACAGTATTAGGACAATTTTTAAAAATAGCAACACAGTTGATTAAAAAACGCCTTACGAAAAAGTTCAAGCAATTCAACAAGACAACTTTTTTAAATATTAAAAAAAAATTCCAACCCGTATTGTATCTAATCCACGTGAAGCAATATCTGTACAAGACAGAACATTAACGGAACCATTGTTGTACAACTCAAACTTTCCTTGCTTCAGTGGAACAGCCATTTGACCGTTAATATTGACACATTGTATGTTATTTTCATTTAGAAACATGGAGACAAAGTCGCATGTTGATGTCTTATTGGAAAAAATCATTACAGGTCTCTTCTGGTTGACATCTGCTTGGACTAGTTTCAGCAATTCCATAGGTTTTTGTGCTTTTCCAAGACGAAGGAATCTGAAAAAAAAAGGATAACTCAAGCATATACTAACTTTTTAATATATAGCAAAACAAAAAAGTTATATGATCGAAAAGATTCCATGATTAGGTGTTATGACAACCTTTATAATTTTTCCCTCCATTTCTCCTCCTGTCATACTCTTTGAAAAATAAAGACTAGGTTATGTAGCAACACAAGTGGACCTTTAGGTTAGTTACTTACTTTTGTGGCACATGTGGCAGTAACTTGTGTATATTACTTGTGGTAATCGTCCTCAAGGACTGAGGGTCTACAAAGGAGTTGACAGCTTCCGGCAGCTCATGGGGCATGGTGGCACTCACCAGGGTCAACTGACACCCCACTGGGGGGGCTTGAATTTGAACTTTATACTGAATCTAAAAATATAAATAACTGGCTGAATATATGTGTTGCCATTAACACGTAAAAATCATGTAAATATTTTTTTTCGTTATTAAGAAACAAACAAATTGCTTCAAAGCCTTCTCCAGTGTTCTTAGTTTGTCAAAATTTGTTTGATGGTTAAAAGCCACTCAAATATAACACTTACCCCAAACTTTTTCAACAAATTCTCTACTTTCCCAATAAAACTATCATCAAGTAATGTATCAGCTTCATCAAGTACCACATGATGTACATTGTGCACCTTTAGGATGCCAGTTGTCACCAACTTGCTGTATGCTCCGAGAGTCGTGATAAGAATGTCAGAGTATTCAATCGGAGGGTTCAGGATTTTTTGCTTAGTCTTCCCTCCAATTAAAGTTGTTACATTGATGTTGAAGCTTTGTGCTATATTCTCCGCAACTTGGCCTATTTGACTTGCTAGAGATAAAGAGAATAATGTTGATTATGTTACAGAATTGTACACTTAAAAATAATGCAATCAGCACTCTTTATTGCATAATATAATATTAATATTGACTGTCTTTTATTCTTCTTATTGTTATCATGTGAAAACTAAAATTATAGTTTTCTCTGTTGATCCAAAATGAATAACAACTTACCTAGTTCTCTACTAGGAGTTAAGACAACAGCCAAAGGACTATTGAATTCCTCTTTCATGTGAGGTTTCCATTCTAAAATATGCTGAATAATTGGCAATAAGTAAGCCAATGTTTTGCCACAACCAGTCTCCGCTGTTATAACTGAATTATATCCTTCAAGAATAGACGGAATGGCTTTTGTCTGTATTAAAGTTGGTAATTCAAATCCCTGAGCAATCATAATCTCACTTAGCTCATTACAAACGCCAATTTCCTCAAAACTCTTTCTGTATACCTCTTTTTCTTCCTTTTTATTTGCGTCATAATAGATAGTAAAGTGATCATTCTTTGATTTAGAACTCAGCCAACCTTGGGACGCTAATTTAATGCCATCGAATTTACGATATGTTTGTCCCTCATAATGATTATACTCTGGACGTTTGCAGGATATTATAGGCAACTTTTTCTTTGCTTGCTGAATACTATAATACCGGCAGTACGATATATTAAACAAGTGTCGTAATTTGGACATTTTTAAAACTATTAGCACTCATAACTTAAAAAGGTTATGTCAATGTTTATTCATTTTAGCACATTCAAAATAAATTAAAGTATATGGTATAACCTCACTTTATAGAAATTCCAGTCTTGAATGCAATGTCCAAGTAATGTCATAGATTGTCACTGTTAACCTGTCTTGTTAAAAAAAATAAAAATAGACAAAGTCCGTTGTTGACGATGGAATTTCAAAGCTTTGCTTTTATTTGTTTCTATAATAATTTACTAAATATGATTCTATATTAAACAATTATTTTTGATCTAACAAAAACGTACGGCTGCAAAATGAACACGGCTATTGAGTGCATAAAATTACTTGTAATCTGATTAGATAGCTTGTCCCGGAAAATAAAAATGCTCTTCATGTTCCGGCTCGTATTAACTGACCTCTATGTATGGACTGGCAAAAACGCGTAGTTTTGTGCCTGCTTAATTTTCGCCACGCCACCAGCGCTGATGTTATAAGACCTAAGACGGAATTAAAGTTTTTAATTAAAAGCTATTGTTGTTTTAATAAAATATTTATTTCAAAAAATCTTTCATTAACAACCATTATCTGTTTTAATCATATCCGCCGCTTTCTCTGCTATCATCACGACAGGGGCATTAGTATTTCCACTAGTAATAGTTGGCATCACACTGGCATCTACGACACGTAGGCCTCTTACACCCTTTACTCTTAATCTTTCGTCCACAACCCCTTCCGCACCCATTGCGCAAGTACCTACTGGATGAAACTGTGTTCCTGACAAATTTAATACGTAACATTTCCAGTATTCATGACTTCCAAATGGTAATTTAGCGCATTTATCGAGATTTAAATCCACAATTTCAGCTTCAAAACTTTTGTGGTACGAGGAATTTATTACTTTAGTATAATCTTCAACACATCTTGCGAATGTTTCTATATCTTGTACATCAGAGAAGAAACCGGAATGTATTAATGGTGCAACTTCAGGATCACTGCTTTTCAGTTCAATTTTACCTCTAGATTCCGGATGTAGTAAAGTTAATACCGCGAACGCCACTTCTCTTTTTAAAGCAGCTTTTGCCATTGAAGTACATACTTTATCGTTCCATTTGAATACGTTTTTACACATAAATACTGGCAATATTGATCCTCTATGTTCTGGAAGAACTGTCGCCTGGTAATCTGGATATGTTTGAGATTTATCCAAAGCGATGTGCCCAAGCAAACTCGCTGTTGGAAACTTGTCCAGATTTCTGAATACATTTATTATTTCAATAAATGATCGTATATTATCACCCCCACTTATTAATACTGGAACCAATGCATGATCTTGCATATTTTTCCCAACATTAGGGGAATTGACTAATGTTTTAATTCCAATTTTATCCAAGTGATCTTTTGGTCCTATCCCGGACAGCATTAAAAGTTGAGGACTGTTTAGAGCGCCTGCTGATAAAATTACTTCTTTTTTTGCTCTTATGGTTACAATTTTATTACTTGATAATTTTACTTCTACGCCTACAATAGTTTTGTCATTATCAAAAATTACTTTTCTCGTCAACGTATTCTTTAGCAAATATAAGTTTTTTCTGTCCAATATAGGTTGTAGAAATGCAACCGCAGTGCTTTGCCTTAAATTATTACCGATTGTGAACGATGGAAACGAATAGCCGATTTGTTCAATGCCGTTTGTATCAAGTAATAGATTGTTACCTATCTCTTCGAAAGCTTCCAAATATCGTTCAGGTCTACCTTTCCAAACTGGTCGGGTAATATGCATGTATCCATTTTTTCCATGTAGGTTAGATGTTTTACCATTTAAAATAACAGGATCTAATAAATGTTCGCTTTTTTTGAAATAATGTGTCACATTGTGCCAGTCCCATCCTGGGTTACCTAATTGGGTCCATTTGTCGTAGTCTGCTTTATTACCTCTAACATAGTACATGTAATGGACGCCACTGGATCCTCCCAACATTTTTCCTCTAACCATGTGTATGTTTCTTGTCTTTTGTGCCTGACTGGAATAGCCATCGTCAAGTGTTTGATAATTCCAGTCCGGCAGTGCCATTGGCATCAACACTGATAATCCGGGACTCTATAAAAAAAAGTTGATCTTTTTTTTATCTTAACTCTGAAGCAATACACAATTTTATGAATACGATCTTATTAATGTGAAAATTTGGATGGATGTATGAATACGTCGTCATATCTTATTGTATGGATATAAAATATATATATTTTTAAATTTATTTACTGACTGTGGTGGCTATTTATAATCTGCCGGTCCTGCTCTACATCTATGCCAATTTCAGCGGGATTCAAGCAGACGTTTTGGAGATACCTTCAAACAAACATCCATCCATTTGGATTTATTAAGAATATTAGTAAAAAGTAAGAAGTTATTTAATCGTTTAAGTTATTAGGTCGTAAGTTTATTGTCAGTAACTAAAATGTAAAGTATAATTTTATATTCTGCAATCGCAGCCTTATGTTATATAAACGCGACTAATTAATGTATTAAAATAACAATAAAGTAATTAAAATAAATAACTTAAACTTAACAAACATTGCAATAAAACATCATTTCTAACTCAATTGTTATTTTTAATCTCTTTGTTTCGTGAATCTCACATGAATTAAATATATTTTTTTCTACTTTTAGTATACATGCTATTATTTGCAATGAAGCAACTATTATTATAAAAATTATTAAGTTTTGATTAATTGATGTTTCTTTTTGGTCTAGAATACGAAAAGTATTTAACTTTTCTTTTATTTATTCTAGAAACTCACGGCAAAAACATAAAGTTAAATAATGAATATTAATGTGATTAAGTGAGTTAGTGAATGAATGAATGAATGATTATATCATTAGCAAATGGAATATGGCGCCCGTTTTTTATTTAGACTCTGCAAATTGCATTTTGATGGAATTCATTTATAAATTGTTTTTTTTTTGACACTGATTTGTAGAGGTGAAACTTTTTTGGCAGTTAATTCTGTGCAGCCAATGAAGAATTGACGACAGCCCGTCAATATCACCTTTAGGCGCTTAGTACACAAGTATTTGACCACCCAGGGCATTAGAGGGCGCTGCAGGCGCCAGAGTCGGATACAAATGTGCGCCCACTATGATACCCTTTAATCTTTGGAAGATTTCCTTTCAACATAAAAAATCTCGCCCAGGACGCCAGAAATGCTAAAACCGGCCCTATTCGTTCAATATGCAATTTGCCAAGTCCTTACGATGTGCCGTGGCAAATTACAATCGAGCGGGATTAACAATTTCGCGATGACAAATACAAACATCAGAGATGAGAGGTGGGTCATCGCCAGCTTCTATCAGCAACACGCTCCAGTTTCCAATTTCTGTAAGGCGATTGGCGAGCACGCAGCCCGCTGAACCCGCACCCACAACGATGAAGTCGAAACTGTCGCCATCTAGAATATATACAAAGCTTTGACTTTTAAGATATAGGAACTATCAAAGGCGCGCTTTTCCCTCTGTCAAAATTTGACAGTTAAATAAAGACGATCTTACTAATTACAAATGCGAATGTTTAGATGGATGGATATTTGTTGCTTTTTTGTATGTGTATATTTTTGAGTCAGTATGCGTTCATAAAAACATTTTAATTTGTATCTGCATATCGACAACCTCCAAGAGCTTGGCAGAATTGATTTAGGATAACAGTGGCTCTTTGCCTAGTCCATTTCTCTATTGTTAAAGATACAATGAATAATGTGACAGCTGCGTCAAATTTAACATTGTGATTTAAAGAAATCTTTCACAATGAAAAATGTAAGCCATTAATTTTCTCAAGTTAAAAAAACCACAACTCAAAGTTCACAAAAATAATCGACTTAATTTAAATTTAGTTGCATTTTTAGTTTGTATAAAGTGTAAATTGGAACATTAAGTAATTGAAAAGTGATAAAAAATAAGAATAAAAAGGGACATCACACACTTCAAATTTTAAATAAGCCCTAATATGCCGTCATATATCATGATATTACTAATATTATAAATATGATTGTTTAGATGGATGGATGGATGGATAGATGTTAGAAGGTATCTCTGGAACGACTGATCGGATCGTGATGAAATTTAACACCGATGTAGAATATAGTCTGGGAGAACACATATTTATTATTTTTGTTTAATCCCGTGCGGACGTACTCGCGGGCGACAGATAGTCACAAATAAATTTGTTGTACATATCCAAAAAGAACCTTATAAACAACCTTTTGTCAATTGTTTTTTTTTTATTTACATGTTTTTATTAAGGCGAGATGAACATCATTATGAATATTCGTTTGAACTTGTTGACCTTCGTGTACTACGTGTAGTAATAGAATAAAAAATTACGCATAATTTTATGTTTATTTCGTGAGACCAGCAAAAAAGGCCTTTGTCTCCCATGATAAAAAAAATATCAAAATGTGTGCTGGGACACAATAGACGTGAAACTACAAAGTACAAATGGAAAAAAAAATATAAGGTTGAATTAAAAATCTACTTCTTTTCTCACAACGGACAAGTGGAAAAACGAATCGTACCAAAATTTAAATAATTGGGCCTGGCAGGAAAATGTTCGTCGACTAAAAATTTATATTAAGGCTAGCTATCTCCGCGACTCTGTCCGCACGGAATTTAAATAAACCTTAATTAGTAGACTATGTGTTTTTCTAGACTATATTCTACATATGTGTTAAATTTCATCAAGATCCGTTAAGCCATTCTGATGATACCTCGTAACAAACATCCATCCATCTAAACTTTTGCATTTATAATATTAGTAAAATTTCTACAGCGCTGTAGGGCGTAAAGTAAACCAAAAAGATACGAAGGTGAAGACTAAGAATCGAATGAGATCAAAAATCGATGACAAAGGTATATAATTAGACTGGTTTCTTAAAACTAACTTACCGGAGACGTGAGTTTGTGTTTTGTATTCTTGAGTATTGAGCAGTAGAGGGGCCACCGCAAGAAATATTGTGGATAAAACATTAATGAAAGGTAATAAAATATTTAATTGAAAATATGCTATTGAAGTCACCAACATTCTGCAATATATTACATATAATGTACCCGCCGATACATAAACAGAGTTCACAAAACACGACTAGCGAATAAACACAATACAATGTACCAACTACTTTTATATGATTTCGTGCAAGTTTAATTTAAACTAGCGGTTATCAGCGACTTCGTTAGAGTCGGAATTAAAATATATTATATGCCAGCGTTCATCAGCTATCTTCTCGCCATAGTTCCGTCAAAATCGGTTCAGCAGTAACGGAGATTACCCGAAAGAAACATACGGATATTTTTTTTTTTATTTCTTTGTACCAAATATCATTTTTTTCTCGTTATTACATACAAACAATCCAATTAATATGTATAGACTAGCTGACTAGACAGACGTCATGTTCTTAATTTTTATCTTTCATAAAAACATTCTTCAGACTATAATAAACTCAAAAAGGAAAAGATACGATTAATTTTCATTATTTATATACCTAAAAACTTCAACGCTTTATTTGTGTCCTTCAAATTAGAATAAGTTTAAAGAGAATGTTATATTACTTTAGAGAGAGAGAGAGAGACTTTTTATTGTATAACTTTAGAGTAGGAATTTATCAAAGTATTTAAACTATTTTCATATTTCATTGTAAGTTTTCACCGACCGAGAGTCCTGTTCTAAAACAAACTAATTTATTTTTTAAATATTAGCAGATTTTTTCTGGAAATTTACTAATATTTCTTTTTACCATTCCAACTAAGCTCGAGGCTTGTGCTAGGATATGGTTTACGACAATAGTCGATTCGAACCCCCGACCTCATGATCGGTAATCGGTACCCTTAACCATTAGGCTATTGATTCAGAACTATGATCTGTGATATATCAAAGAGAAACAAAAGGAGAATTTGCTAGTAAACAAGTATTTCGCCAGTGAAATACCACTTTTTATTGTTACTGAATTGTCACTTTGAGGAGGCATTTACAGCTTCACCGGGCTTGAGGTGGCCGAGCGCAGATGGCACTTAGCCGAAACCTCATTTAAGAGTAACTAAGCTCGAGGGCTCCCTCAGGAACCTCGGCTCGGGCCGTTACTTCGTTATTATTACCGGATTGGCGTGAAAACCCACTGATAACTAAACACTGTTTATACGAATTCCTCTCAAACGTCAAATCTAGTATTCTGAGTCTAATTTAATTTAGTCTAAGCTATAAAAATAATAACAAGCACAAAATGAATAACAGTATAAAAAAGCTTTATAGGCTAGTAGTAAGCGATAACTTACCGTGGATTGCTAAGACCAAAATCCCCGTTTAAAACATATTGTCATCTTGGTTTTGTCAATGATAATGATTGGGATGGTAATACGTATAATACAAAGAGTCTGGTCTCAGAAATCAACGATAATTATCTGAACTTAATTAATCGATATGTAAACTTTAAAAAATATTACTTGTTTTCGTTGATAATAAAAATATAATAACGTGTTAAAAAAGCCTATATCTTCCGAAGATAAAAACGCGTGTGATTTGTTAGTCCACTAAATTGTAACTAAACTATTTATTATGTTAGTTCATTGAAATGAAACTGCTTATGATAATTCGCCTATTTGCCTTCATGTCTAGTGCCTACCATAGTTTCTCAAACCGTGGGACCGACCCCCAATGGTGCGGAGCTTTTTGGGTGGAAACACCAAGTAAATTTCGGGAGCGACAAAATGGCGCCGCAATGACACCAAGAGGTTAACAAGATTGCAGCAAGGATCGGTAACTGTTTTTTTCTTTACTAATTAATTAAAGGACCCCCAAAGATGACATAGGGCTCTTAATAGTTAAAAAAAAGACGATAGGTGATTTTGTTTTTTACTTCTAAATTTTTAGGTTATTTAAATTGTCCAGAGGTGAAAAATACAATGAAAAAGTTTGAGAAACCCTAATGAATTTTTATTAGCGAGCCAAAAGCCTCAACTAAATTGATAATTCCAATCCACGGTGATCGATAATTACTTCCTCACTCTTAAAACTTTGCCTTGTGAAAGAAAACTACAGTCGTTGGGGCTTTAGGGGGATACTGACATTGACTCTTAACACCGGTGTTATTTTTTTACAAGAATATTCCTTATTCTCATTGTATATAAAGGGACAGATACTTATTTACAACTTACATAACACCTTTGTATATTTGCCATCTAACATAAATTAATCTTGTGACGCATACTAAAATATTTTAAACTAGTTTTATTAATATGTAAATTTATTCAAAATTACTAACGTGACAAAAACACATTAATGTTTCTAATATATCTGAGCTCCAATCGGACATGCGTTCTTCTAACGCGCGCTAAAAAAACGCTCGTCGGGGTTAGACAACGTGTATTCGCTTCGAAGCCATTATTCCATAGCGAACTTTTAAACCGCGACGCTTTTTTATCCAGCAATGCTTTTTAAAAGGGCCGAAGGGGCCGAAAGGCGAGTCGACGCAGCGTTGGTAGGCCTCCCGCACGATGGACCGATGGCCTGGTCAAGGTTGCGGGAGTGCACTGGATGCGGGCGGCACAGGACCGGGCATTGTGGCAATCGATGGGGGAGGCCTACGTCCAGCAGTGGATGAATTTAGGCTGATTATGACGATGATGATGCTGTTTAAGCACTCAGCGAAGGAAACAAGTTTGATTATAAAGTGGTTAAAAAAGCGCTCGTGCGAATGCGCTCTAAAATTTTCCACGCCGTTTATTAGTATGTACTTGTATTTATATATATAAAAAATGACTGTTAGAAAAACAGAGAAAAATGTTACTTGACAATGATTTTCGATAGTCATTTTTCTTGAAAACAAAGCCGAACCAGTAAAAGCGGGAGATCATTGCAATCCGTTGCTAATTTGCCCCGTGCCTCTAAAAAATAACCTATCATACTTCGTTGGTCAGTGGCAATGTATCTATCTAATGGCGACAGATTTTAGTCCAGTAGTTTTTTATTCGTTACATGCAAAAATACAAACCCTTCCGTTTTTTAGACTTGTTCCTTCCCAATTCGAGTCACATCTGGAACCTATATACATAACCAGTCTTATATTGAAGACATTAAATTTAAAATTATACACAACATCCTAATAGGAAAACATGCGATAATAAAAAAAATACTATGTATTCGTTTTAATTAACATAAATTTGCAACAAGGGTCAAAGGTGCTTCCTCATTTACTCACAAGTCTCATTAATATCCCACTTATATCATAAACTAGCTGTCGCCCGCGACTCCGTCCGCGTGGATATATAAACTTAATATATAGATAAGTTAAATAAAAAGCAGCTCTTCAAGGCATAAATTCGAAAAAATAATAATAAATAGTATCCTATGTCCGTCTCCTGGCTGTAAGCTACATCCACAACAATTTTCAGGCATATCGGTAAAGCCGTTCTCGAGTTATAAATAGTGTAACTAACACGACTTTCTTTTATATATATAGATAAGATGCGAATGTTTAGATGGATGGATGTTTGTTAGAAGGTACCTCTGAAACGGCTCAACGGATCTTGATGAAATTTTGCACAGACATAGACAAGGACTTGCAGATTATAAGTGATTAACCCCTGAGCCACAGACTATACGATGTTATAGGTTATTTTTAACCCGAGTGACCTGTAGTAAATAAATTTTGGAGATCAGATTAGTTTCGATTATAAGATTATTGAATGGGAATAAATAAAATTACCTTATTTGACAACAGACCCGCTTTAATAAGAAAAAAAATACATTTAGTAAAACTTTTTAAATCGTTTAAGTATTTACACAAGAAAGAAATTACATATACTTGTAAATAAGATGTCGTCCATTAATCACGTGATTCAATTCATCATCAGCTATTTTCATCTTTCATCTCACTATACGTCCCCACCGAGGGGCTCGGAGCCTACCCTAAGTTAGGGGTGACTAGGCCATAGTCAACCACGCTGGCCAAGTGCGGGTTGACTTCACACATATCTTTGAATTTCTTCTCAGATATGTGCAGCATCACGATGTCTTCCTTCGCCGTAAGAACGTCAGATAAATATACATATGTAAATCGAAAATTGAAAAACACATCGGTACATGTTGGGATTCAAACCCAGGACCTGCAGATTGCAAGTCAAGTGCTTGACCCCTGAGCCACCGACACTCTGTGATTCAGTTGCAACTTTTCAACCAGTCTGCTGTCGAGATATTTTATTGTATATTTTTATTATTTAAACAAATAGCCTAATGGTTAAGGGTATTGATTTCCGATCATGAGGTCGGGGGTACGAATCCCGTCACTCCATTATTGTCGTAGACCATATCCTAGCAACAAGCGTACGCGCTTAGTAAGTAGCTAAGTTTGAACGGTAAAAGAAATATTAATAAATTAACAAGAAACTGCTACTAAAAAATCCTCGTGGCTTCATTATATCCCTCTCTCTTTCTTGCGATATCCCGTGATTTTCCACAACCTTTATCACGTGATTATTGGACCATCCAATACTTCATAAGTTGAAAAAACTAACATTTTTGTTGACAAATAAAGAAAACATTTCTTTTTCCTACTTCACTTAATATTTAATAACTTGAAAAGCTAACATTTTGACTTATATATAATGTATATAATATTTTATTTATTATTAAAAAAATATTTACAAAAACTGACATGAAGTTACTAAATGACAATAATCAGTTGACATGGAATGACTAAAGTATAGTACGACAAATTAACTGACCCGATGAGGGGCGCTACTATCGCAGCTAAAACATAGACAACATCTTACTTATATTATAAATGCGAATGTTTGGATGGAAGTTTGTTAGAAGGTATCTCCAGAACACCTGCATGAATCTCGCTGAAATTTGTCATAGATGTAGAACATAGTCTGGAAGAACACATAGTTAAAACTAAACTTACTTAACACACAATTAAACACTTTAATTCCGCGCGGACAGAGTTGCACGCGACAGCTAGTAAATACATAAATTCACACAGCAACTATGGGTTTCTGAGACAAAAATCTCTGTATAAAAGTCATCTGTCGTCATCATTGACAATAAAGAGATAACAATATGTTTTAAAGCGAAATATTTTGTACTCAGAAACCCAGGATAAGACAAGGATGTGGTAATACTTTCTTGATATCATCATGGGGGGCGCTAGTGGACTAAAATAATTTATCATAGACCGGGTCAGATAACTTTGTCCTTCTATTAGTACAATTAAGCGTAGATTATACAAAACATTAAAATCAACTGCCTAACACACAAACATATATCTGTCTCCCTTTTTATTAAAAGAATAAGAGAGACAACATACTCGGAAGTGGAAATCTGTAATTAGATTCTTACACATAACAAATATACAATGATGTATCAAAATTAATTAGAAATGAGAAATTATAACCTATCTAAATACATTTATAAGTCTGTAATCATAGACTTAATAAAAGAATAGACATGTTTAATCAAACTGATATATAAACACGACTAAACACTCACGTATATTCGTCCGGTGGCGGCACCGACTAGTTTCGAGCCAATCGGTTGGCCTTCATCTGAATGAGTGGTACTTGTGTTATTTCGCGGACGCGGCCCTCAGCTCACTCGGAGTGAGAATATACGTGAGTGTTCAGCCGTGTTTATATATCAGTTTAGTATGTCTCACGAAAGTTTGAATTATTTAATGTTTAATCAATTTAAAAAATAAATTTAGTAATGTTAGTAAAATTTAGTTGGATGGATACATATCTTCAAAACGGCTCAACGGATTTCATGTAAATTTGGCATTCATCATCAGCTCACTATACTTCCCCACTAAGGGGCTCGGAGCCTACACTAAGTTAAGGGTGATTAGGGCATAGTCAACCACGCTGGCCAAGTGCAGGTTGACTTCACACATATCTTTGAATTTCCTCTCAGATATGTGCAGCATCACAATGTTTTCCTTCACCGTAACAACATAGGATAAATGTACATATGTAAATCGGAAATCTAAAAACACATTAATACATGGCGGGATACGAACCCAGGACTTGCAGATTGCAAGTCAAGCTTAACCCCTGAGCCACCCAAGTTCAAATTTGTATGATGTAGAATACTGTTCATTCAAAGACAAATAGTTGTTTTTTTTTAATACATTTTGAATATAATTTCTCAATTCCATTGAATTTATACATATCCTAGCGGACCCGACAGACGTTGTCCTGTCTACACGTCTTTAATTTGAATAAATTAATATGAAGTTAATATTTGATGAAAATTGTGAATCTAAACCATTCCCAGATCCCCTTGAACCCACACAAAAAATTTCATCAAAATCGGTCCAGTCGTTTGAGAGAAGTTCAGTGACATACACATTCACAGAAGAATTATATATATAAAGATATAAAACATTTAAACGATGACAATTTCATAGCTATATTTTATATGAATTTAATATTGTTAAGAATGTGTTTTATTAATTTGTTCTCGTGTTTTGTATGTATTGTGAATGCAATTGATATACATTTAAATATAGAACAGTTTTAATTAATTTTATATGAAAAAATATCTTAAAAATAAAAAATAAAGTTAGCAGCGACATCTATCGAGGAATATGCAATTAAATACCACAAACTCATAGAAGATATGTTTTAAGAAGATTCTAGATTTTGCCTAATGACTTAGATGTTCGACAATCAGGAGGTCATAGGTTTAAATCCCGTTACTCGATTTGTAAATTTATATTCTATTATAATATTAGAGAAAAAATATTGGACTGATTTGAAAAAATTTAAAAACTACCACTGAAAGACATAAGCTATTTTTTATAATTCTAAGCAGACGAAGTCGCGGGGCGAAAAAAGTTTGAAATCAACCGATAATATTTAAATGAAAACACTTTCCCTAGTTTTCTTCTTTTGTAAAAGAAAGGGCAGAATTGTCAAGCCCAGTGAGAGTCACTGCTATCTTTATAGAAAATATTTAAAACCCACTTAGACATAGAAAATAATATAAACAAGACAGAACACAGGTATATTACGACTTTAAGATTGAAAGGGCGGCGCTAGTGAGCTAATAAAATTTAGTTTCATTTATGACCACCGGGCCAGATAACTTTGTTAGATTATAACGCATCACAACTAATCTGCTTGTTTTAATATATATATATATATATATATTGATAAGTTTCGCTAAAACTTGAGAACAGCTGAACAAATTTATTTTATCTTGGTCATGGAAACGTTCGTGCAGATCTAGGGAAGGTTTAAAGAGACGAGAAAAATTCGAATAATTACCGGGGACTAATTAAGTTTTCTTATTCCACGCGGGCGACACTAATATTTAATAATTATATACACGGATTTTACTAATCGGTACCGAATATATGCGATGGGCGTTCGTACTATAGGTATTTTTTATCTTTTTTTATTACTTAATCTAAAATTAAAGTTCATAATATCGACAGGCAACGCCTGATGCTTACATTCAGTACCGATTATTTTAAATGCATTTGCTAACTCATATATAATGAATTTAATAAAATAAATCTATAAAATCTGTTCTTCATTCAAACATATATCTATTGTATGTATGTATGTATGTACGTTGTGTTATGTATACGAGTTTATATACATATGTACATAAGAAAATGACATAAAATCACAGATTTAAATGTAACAAGTTAATGAAAATTATTTTTGCACACGTCCAACAATTCTATAAGCGTTGATAGATTCGCTGTAGCATCCTGCAACAGATCTCTGAAAAGAAAATAATTAATGTTTAATCAATACTAATATTATAAAGAGAAAGAGTTTGTTTGTTTAAACGCGATAATCTCAGGAACTACTGGTCCGATTTGAAAAATAAGCAAAACGGAAAATATTTACTAAAAATTACGAAAATGCAAAAAAATCATGGTATTATTATACTAAAGCCATCAAAATACGATATAATAACAATCAATGAGAAACTAAATTAAAAAGCAAACGTGCCGACAGACAAATTTGTACTTTCTATATATATAAAAATAGAGTTTAATTTCCAAACATACCTGTTTTTAATACAAAACATTTTCAATTCATCCCGCACTATAATACCACTTTCACTCGCATTCAAATTCAAACTGGATTTCAATTCAGTCTCCAAATTAGATATACGTCCTTCTAATAAGTTACTTGAGTTGTCCACATTCAGTACTCTGGAATAAAAAAGTGGTTATTAAAAAAAACTGGCATATATAATATATATGCCAGTTTATATAGATATAGAGTGTCATACTGGCATATATAGTATATGACAGTATGACACTCGCCCGGTGAAATACTACGACCACACAGAAGACAGGCGTCAAGTGGATGCAATTCCGCGTACAGTCTGATGAGTGTGCGTCCCGGACTAATTTAGTCCCCTTTCCCTTCCCACCCTTTTCCTTATTAGAAAAGAATGGGAAGTGGAACTGGACTCTCCGGATGAGAGGATGCATGGAAAGGGAAAATATTTTCCTTCTGTGCATCCTCTCCTCCGTCGATTAAAGGTAGGCAACGCATATGCAATTGTGTATGTCTATGGGCAACGGTCACTTCGCTATATCAGCGATTTTAGGTGGCCGATTGCTCGTTTGCCATCTTTTGATATAAAAAAAAACACTCAGGGGATGAATACGAATCAAATGACACCCATTCCTTCAAAATCAAGTTATTAATTTAGAGTATAAGAAGTTACAAAGATTTATACATAATAATATATTTAAATACGCGAGATTTCATAATCTTATTTAATTCCATGTGCCTTTAAATAAATAACAAAGACTATAAACGATAATATTTGGATGGATGGATCATCATCATCAGCTCACTATACGTCCCCACTGAGGGGGGTAGCCTACCCTAAGTTAGGGGTAACTAGACCATAGTCAACCACGCTGGCCAAGTGCGGGTTGGTTGACTTCACACATATCTTTGAATTACTTCTCAGATATGTGCAGGTTGCATCACGATGTTTTCCTTCACCGTAAGAACATAGGATAAATGTACATATGTAAATCGTAAAACACATTGGTACATGGCGGGATTCAAACCCAGGACCTGCAGATTGCAAGTCAAGTGCTTGACCCCTGAGCCACCGATGATTCTTGGATGGATGGATACATCCATCCAAAATATCATACATGTTAACATTTAACTACAGAAGAGCTAAATGAATATGGATGAAATTTGGTGTATATAACAAAATTTGTTTTTTAATTTGGCGTAAACAAAGTCGCGGGCAACAGTTAATTTAGTTTATATAAATACTAGTTGTCGCCCGCGATTCCGTCTGCTCGGAATAAAAAATAATAAATAACCTATGTGTTCTCACATACTATGTCCTACATCTATGCCAAATTTCAGCCAGGTCCATGCAGCCGTTCCACAAACAACTTGTAACATCCATCCATCCATACAAACATTTATATATATAATATTAGTAAGATATACATACCCTTGTATGGTGTGGTTAAGAGATATAATATGGTTCCTGAACATGGAGTACTTGCTGATGAGGCCCTCCACCGGCTCGTTGCCCGGTATTTGGTCTTCTATGCTATGAGGTATGCCCAAACATCGGCACAGCTTCGCACTGGAATATCATTTATATATTACTACTAGCGGTATTAAAAAAAAGATAATAAGTAACCTAAGTGTTCTTCTACTATATGTTCTATATGTGTATTAAATTTCATCGAGATCCATCATGTCAATAGATATTCATTATATAAAAACAACACTCTTCTTAAAAGTTAAAAGTTAAAAGTTGAAAGCTTCTCCATTTGAAAATAAATTATATTTGTAAGTTAATGTTTTGGAAGACGCTAGTGATATCATCACAAATTTGCCTTGCAATGCAATACTACGATCACACAGAGGACATTGATCAAGAGAATACCAGGTACTGTCCGATGAGTGATGGTACCAAAGACCTAATTTTAGACTTCCCTTCTCACCCTTTTCTAATAACAGAGTGTGTTCACGAGCAAATAAAAAGTTCAATGTTTATAAAAATATAAGTTTCGTTGTAAAAGAACTAGATGGCGCTGCGCTATTTAAAAGCACGCTAGCATTTTGTTTTACTGTTTTGTTGTGATTGCGCTTAACGCTAATTAAACGACTCATCCACCCGACCTTTTTTTGTATCATTTATTAACACGGATCCCGGGGCTTTTTGGGTTCCTGTACAGAGGGGGAGGAAGGAAGGAGGAGAGGATGGTAATAGGATTTTTTTTCTTCCTGTGCATCTCCTCCACCATTGATTAAAGATAGGAAACCTTGCATTGCATCAGCTATATCTATCATGTGGGTTCAAATCCTGTCCATAGTTCAGATGAAATAGTTACTAAAATTGTTAAAAACATACCAATAACTGGAAAATATAATCCATACAGTCTCGAATGCTTGCATAACAGACACATTATTCTGTCCTCGTGTCTGTCTGTCATTCAGCCGGTCCACCGTGTTCTTGGCTAGTTCCATATACTCCGGTATGATCTGACACTTCTTTGCCACCTCTACGCATAACTCTTTGAAGTTGCACACCTCAGCTTCCACCAGGGTCTTCGGGTCTGGATAAAAATACATACAGACTTAGGATCTGTCAAAAATATAATAATTTAACAAAAAAAATTGGTGTAATAATTCTCTGCTTTTTACTGACAATTATTGATATATTCTTATAATCATCATCAGCTCACTATACGTCCCCACCGAGGAGCTCGGAGCCTACCCTAAGGGTGATTAGACCATAGTCAACCACGCTGGCCCACTGCGGGTTGACTTCACACATATCTTTGAATTTCTTCTCAGATGTGTGCAGGTTGCATCACGATGTTTTCCTTCACCATAAGAACATAGGATAAATGTACATGTGTAAATCGGAAATCGTAAAATGCATTGCAAGTCAAGTGCTTGACCCCTGAGCCACCGATGCTCTCTACTCTTATAAAATATCATTTATTATATTCGTACCCGGATAAGCGAGAAACCTTCATCAGGAGTCATTGTCCGGTCCCGATAGACAACCTCCATAAGTAAATTGGGTTGGAGAGAAACCTCTTTAAGCAAGAAAAGTGTAATGGTCTCTTGGACTACTTATTATATCAAAAAAAAATCTCAGCCCGAGAGCAAAGATGAGCACTTTTTAATAAAAGCTATAAAAACATAAGACATACCTTTATTCCTAATATAAGTATAACTTTTCTTGAGATCGTTCAGCAAAGTGTCGATCCTTGGGAAGACCTCGTGGAAGACTGCTATCCAGTGCTTCAGCAGAGCAAAAAGCACGTCCTGCAGGTCCCAGGGCGGCGGCCTGCACACCACGTGCTCCCACAGCGTCTTGTATCTCGCGCGCATCTCGTTCTACAAAAACACAGAATCTGTTCAAACAGTACATATAAATATTTTTTTGCATCTTACTAATGTTTGTCGAATGTTTGGATGTATGGATGGCACAGATGAAGAACATAGTCTGGAAGAATTAATAAGCTACTAATTAATGTTCAATTCCTCGCGATGGGAGTTGAGGGCGACAGCTAGTATATTATAAGGTGGCAAATGAGCATCTATCGGTCAGACATTTGCAGATGCCTACATGTAATCAGCGGAGGGGATGCATAGAAAGAAATTATTTCCCCTTCCCATATAATATAAGGGTGGGAAGGAAATGTGGACTAAGAGTGAAGGAATCATTTCAAAGATAGCTGAGAGATTTCTTAAACAACCTAGAATTTTAGTAATTAAATGTTTTAAAAATCAAAGAAATCTTGGCTCCGTAACCAATAGAAGAATTTCATATTCCCCAAAGTTTCATAGAATCAATCTGGTTTTTTTTATTTATGATTACTGTTAAATAATTTACCTCTAATATATTAGCGAGTAGTTGGTACATAGTTAGCTCGTAGTGCTTCACGCTGGCGTAGAGTGAGGGGTCGGGCAGAGGGCGAGGTCTGCCCTCCAACATTGACATCAGGTCGGTCACTGTCATTGTCTTTATGCCATTTATCACTGCCTTGTTGCATAAATTCTTGTCATTTGATAGTAGCACCTGCAATATACATATAAGAAAATATTTAATGTGTACAGTCCAACAAATTCGCTGTGTTACAGTTATAGATTAATTGCAATCAATACTTACAAATATATAATTTATTAATTATATCAAACAAAAACAATATTGATTACTTGAACTGTACAATATTTATTGTGTAAGTGTGAACAAGACGTTTAACAGTTTATTACCACTTTAAACATAGACCACCAATGATCTTGACTGTACATTTTTTTTTTACAAAAATCTTTTGTATAGAGCCAAGACTCACTTTGGCTCACTATCAGTGAAATAAAAAAAAATCTACAAAGGAAATTTTATAATATATATAATAATAGTTAAACATATAGTTACCACAGACTTTCCCCTTTCAGATTGTTGTAGACAGCAGTTCAGAATCTCATCATCTGGTACTTCACAAGGAAAGATGTGAGAATTTGAATCGCGTAGTGACTGTCCTGGAAATACATTAAAGACCTATTTAAATGCAATTAATCTTAGTAACTACTGCTTGGAATTTTCAAATACTTATATACTTCTTTATTTAACTATTAAGGAAAGTTATAGATATTAATAAAAAGTACATAGCTTTTTAATAGTTCATCATCATCAGCTCACTATACGTCCCCACCGAGGGGCTCGGAGCCTACCCTAAGTTAGGGGTGATTTTAATAGTTACTTACTAATATTATAAATGCTAATTTTTAGATGGATGTTTGCCAGGACTGTTGTATAGAACTCACTAAAATTTGGCATAGATGTAGAGTTCGAGCTCGAGCGTCAATAGCCTAATGGTTAAGGGTACGGATTTCTGATCACGAGGTCGGGGGTTCGAATCCCGCCATTCGACTATTGTCGTAAAAAATATCCTAGCACAAGCCTAGAGCTTATTTGGAATGGTTAAAGAAATATTTGTAAATTTACACAAAAATCTGCTAATATTTTATTTAAAAAAAAAGTACAATCTTGAAGTACACATCGGCTACTAATTAAGTTTTTTTTTTAATCGCATGCAGACTGAGTCATTGTCAGCTAGTTGCATTATAAATATATAAATTATGTTATATTCAAACACAATTTCATGTACTTTTCATATCAGAATAGGTATAAAAGATACAAGAAGCTACTTTACCTTTCAGTCTATTGGCGACAGGCAATGACTTATACAAATAGTCCATGGCAGCCTTTGCTCGCTTACAAAGAACTCCATTGCCGTTGTTATTGTCCTTCAACTTGTCCAGTTCATTGATCACACGCCACGGCACCAGCAATGTTGGCTGCTCTCTGTAACCTGCGGAGAAACAACAACGTGACTATATCAAGTCAATGTGCAGTAATTTAAAAACAGAAGTGCAGATAGTTAAGGTAGGTGTAACTGAGGATTTCTCTCACTAAATCTACACTTAAAGACTATTGTAATAAACATTAATGATTTATATAGCTATCTTACTAATATTATAAATGCGAATGTTTGGAAGTGTCGAAGGATGTTTGTTAGAAGGAATCTCCGGACCTGCATAGATGTAGCTAAAATTTGGTATAGGTGTAGAACATAGTCTGGAAGATCACATAGGCTATGAATTAATTCCTTATTAACTCTGCACGGATGGAGTCACAGGCGACAGCTAGTAACAGTACAAATGGGGAAAGTTAGAATGTATGGATGTTTACTACATATCTCTAAGATGGCTTAACAAATCTCTCTGAAATTTGGCACAATTGTATAAAATCATCTGAAGGAACAAAGGTTACTTTTTTTTTAATTCCATGTATAATACTAATAGATAAGGAGGTATAATAGAAAAGAAATATAACAATAATTTAGTAGTTGTTTTCTCACCTTTTATTTGTGAGTTCAGAACATGCGTGATGCAGTGCAGATCATGTATGAAGATGTTTGTATCAACAACTATTACTGCGTTGGTCTGTATTGTGTTCAACATGTTCGGTGGAGTACAGCTGCTGCTAGGCTTGTGTGCATCCACCTTAAACAAATAATTCTTCTTATATTATAATAATACTATAAAGAGAAAGATTAATATTATTATCTGTAATTAATAAACTCAAAAGCTACTGAAACAATTTCAAGAAATTCTTTTGCCACTTGAAAGATTTAAAAAGCTATTGTAATTAACAAAACAATATAAAAACGCTATACAGAAAAGCATAATAAATGCAGTCATTAAGTAGACACAAACTTCCTTAGTAATTACATTTGAGAAAAAAGTGTAGTGTAAACAGTGTCTTTGGTTATTTGGCCACTTTGGTTTGTAGCGGGTACTAGGCTAGCTAGAATGATTAAGATTAAGTGGTGTCAAGATGTATGAAAACTACTATAATGCATAAGATTGTAAAAAGAATTGCATACCCTTGAATAAACCAATGTAACACCTTCATCCACATCCATCTGTTCAATATGTCTACCAGACCGGGAGTCATCAGTTTCATTTGATAATCTCCGTAACATTTGCATTCGATCTGAAGCTGTATATGAGTTATCGGTCCTATCTTTTATTGGCAATTTGTATGCAAGCTTCGTTTTAATTGCTGACAAAAGTTTATCAGCTTGAGAAAACTGTGGTGGTGTAGATGGATGTGCATTTGATGGATATCCAGTTATCTTATTACATATGCCCTGTTCGATATCTGCATAGGTGTCTTTCTGTATGTCTTTGTTGTCATACTCTTCAGGCAACTGAGCTTTCATTGATGATATTATTTTGTTCGCAGCAAAGAACTGTGAAGGTGATGAACTGCCGCTGTCGCTGCTTGTTTGTGAAGTGATAGTGCAATTAGACTCATTAAAATTTGGACTGTTCAATTCAGATCTTTGACTCTTTGTTGGGGTTTCAGCTTTGCTTGTTTGGCTTAATTTTTCATTCATCGATTCACAATTTCTACTAACATTTCTCTTCTTTTCCTGCTCCACTTCCTTGGTTAGTTGGGTTCTTAGTTTTGTCAGCCTGTTCTTTGCTAAATTCTTTGCTGGCTTTAATGATTGTGAACATCTGTTTTTGTTCTTATGCATGTTTAGGTGATTGTGCCTACTCCCATGAGAAACTGAATTATGAGATTGTTTTTGTTTGACTTCTGTAAATTAATATAGAAAGATAAATAAAATATAAAGTAATACAAGATATTGACAATAACATATTACTTATTACTAGCTACCCACTATATTACACACACAATTACTTACCATTATTTGACTTTGAAGACTGTAAGGTATTATTACCATAATTTCGCTTTGAAGATTTGCTATCGATCTCCTTTCTGTTTTTCTGTTCATTGCGATTAGACTCTACTTTGATGGCGGCATCGCTGCAAGATTCTTTTTCCTGTACAGACTTCGAAAAAAAAACAATTGTAATTACCCTTTATTCAGTTTTTACAAGTGTAATAAATCCTAGATCATTTTTTAAAACTTAAAAAAAAGATAGAGAAAATAAGTTGCAAAATATACCTTGGGCTTTATCCAAGAGGACTCGCGAGTCCTTGTGTTAAAATAATACTGTTTTCCTGGGTTTGATCTAGATTTACAAAGTACCCAACAATCTGTGAATTTATCACTGATAATATTCATCATAAATGTTAGTGTACAATGTTAAAATAAAGCAATGAAAACATTTTCTACTTATAAAAATGTAGATGAATTATTCTTAAGAAAAATATCTGCCAAAGCTGCCAAATAAAAATATACACCACCTACGAGACTAGGGATGGGCGTTGATTTAACGAACCAGTTGAATCAACCGTTGATCACCATTTAACGTTTAAACAAGTTTCAACCGTTGATCGTTTTCATTGAACGCAACGCAAAATTTTCATAGGAATCCAAAGAGTATATAAAATGTAGAAATCACTGATCGTTTTTTATTTATGTGCTAGTCTTCGGGGCCTTACTATAAAAAAAATTGACAGTGTACGTACGTCAATTTATCTCATGATTTTAACACTTGGATTTTCGACAAATCTTGGTATTTAACTATTCGTCGACTTGCCAAATGAGTTCTACACCAATAAATAATGAAATACTTATGCCAAAAGTAGTTAGGCGATACATATTTATATACTCTTTGGTGAGACATGTTTTTTGACACACAACTTTGATGTCCATAATACCCTTCGCCGACGTACAAAGTGTTAAAACACATGTTTAAGTCAACAATGTATAACTTTATTTTCGGGGTAATACTATATGATTGATCTTTGTTTATTGAATATAATTTGATTAAAATTTTACATGGAAAAAGCAATTTAAACGTTTCGTTTCGTTGACCCCAAACCCATTAACGACCATCCCTATATCACTATACGAGACAAAGATACGAGATCTACGAGAGCTGCAGTTCAGTTGTTATTCATTTATCGATATAAAATACCTAACTATCATTCATTCATTATTGATTTCTCTTTGCCAGCACTTTGCTATTCATGGTTGAGTCTTAGCGCTTAAAATTCCTCCTGAATAGAATATAGATCTCTTACTCATCAATATTTTTAGACAAGGTCTTATAAGTCTGCTGTTCACTGGACCATGGGTCCTTGAGTTACTTAATGTCTACTTTTTAACTTCAAATACCACAGTGCACCTGAATTGGTACCGGTTCTTATTCTTTGGTACAAACAGCAATGTCAGATGGAAGAAAAAATTAACAGCTGATTCTGACAATTCTACTAACCTATAAACTAAACTTATAAAAATAATAATATTAGTAAATGTAAGAATATAAGTCGATTAAAAAGTTTTTCTGTGATGGAGAGGTTAATAAAATTCAGTAAAACAATTAGAAATAATTGGAAAAAATCTGCTGTCGGTGTTTTTGCTCTATATTACGGCGCTGCGACCATCAAGGAGAAATATGAGTTAGTGTAATAAAATTAAATATTTTAACTATCATACGCTGTTTATACTTCTTTATTTTTATTTATTTTATTTTAGGATAAATCTTCTGATGCGTGCAGCATGTCGAGAAGCCGTGAAATATGGCGATTCATTGATACCCATGGAGAGGAACCCAACTCTTGTTACGGTTATATTAAACCCCGTAGCAAATAAAAGAAAAGCGAAAAGAGATTTTGAGAAATATTGTGAACCATTACTACATTTAGCTGGGTTGCAAGTAAGTTTTAATATAGTAGCTGTCGCCTGCGACTCGGCCCGCGCGGAATTAAAAGAAAACATAGTAGCCTAATGTTCCAGACTATATTCTATATGTATGCCAAATTTCATAGAGATCCGTTCATCCGTTCTGGAGATAGCTTCAAACAAACATCCATCCATCTAAACATTCATATTTATAATGTTAGTAAGAGATATATTTTTACATACTTAGGTGGATGTAATACAGACAACATCAGAAGGTAATGCTAAGGAAATCGTTGAAACCCTTCGTGGAACTGAGGCCATCATTGTTGCAGGAGGGGATGGAACTTTCTCTGAAACTGTTACAGGTAGACAGCAAATATTCACTAGAACATTTAACAAATTATAATACTGAAATCTCTTTTTTATGTTCTCTGCTGATTATGACAATTATATATTATTCCATAGTACCCAATTTTTCTTCTTTAACTCTAATTTCAGAAGTCTATCTTAGTGCAGTCCCTCAGGTAACATTGATAAAGGTAATATTTTCTTGTCTTTGCAGGTTTATTAAGAAGAAATGATGGGGCCAATCAATTTCCACTTGGAATCTTGCCATTGGGACGCACCAACAATTTTGGAAACAGTTTATTTGAAGGTGGCAAAGGTGTAGAAAGAGTTAAGCAATTAATAGAAGCCTCTATGGCCATCATTAAAGGAGATACAGTATGGAAAGATGCTATGAAAATTGAACCAATGGTACATGAAGAAGAGACATCAAGTAGACCTATTTACGCAATGACTTCTCTAGAGTGGGGTGCATTTAGGGATACAATGGCAAAGAGAGATAAATATTGGTTTTATGGGTCACTAAGGGATTATGCTTCATACATTTTTAATGGTTACAAAGAATCTCTTAATTGGAATTGCAGCGGTGTTATCAAATATACACCGCCTTGTGCAGGTTGTAACAACTGTATACAGAAGAAGCCAGAAGTAAAAAGAAAATGGAGTTTCTTTATGCCGAGTGCACCGGAAACGGCTACCACAACAGTTGTTAATCCTGAATGTGCTATATTACAAGAATTATGTTTCAAGACGAGCAATCTTAGAATAAGACCACAAAAATTTGGTCAATCTGAAATTCCTTCACTTAGTGTTGTAATTGGTAAAAATAAGTACAGTTACTCTGAATTTGTTTCCGAAGGTTGGCAACGAATTAACGGCATTGATGATAATAACAAAAGCATTGCCGCTAGGACTGTGGAGCTCATACCAAATGAATCCGGTCCTGATGTTATTATTGATATAGACAGAGAAGAATTTGAAGTGAAACCTGTTAAAATAACATTACTACCTCATATTGTTAAAGTTTTTTGTAATAATAATAAAATGATTATGTAAAGAAAAATCGTAAAATCTTTTTTTTTTAATTTAAATAAAAGTCGAAATATTTCGCTAGTAGATAACCTTAATATTAAATTTAAAAAAAAATACAAATTAAACGATAATGGAAATTAAAATTCAGTTGTATTATGGGATAAATATTTATTTACATAATATATTATAACATGATTTGCCTAGAATACTCCCAAACAAAGATGGCGGCTGTAACATGAACGTTCAGAGACCGAACCACACCCTGCTGCGGAATTTCAACGCAAAAGTCCATCAGCGGTAAAAGATCGCAAGGTACGCCTTCCTTTTCATGTCTGAAATTAATTTAAACACTCAAAAATTATAAAACGAATTCGTAAAACAACCTAAAATTACGGAATTATAAATATATCGCTGTCAGTATAAAATTATCTTACTTATATTATAAATGCAAATGTTTGAATGTTTGTTAGAAGGTAGCTCCAGCATGGATTTCGCTGATATTTGGCATAAATGTAGATAATAGTCTGGAAGAACAAATAGGCCACTATTTTTTTTTATTTTCGTGCGAACCGAGTCGCGGGCCACATCCAGTATACGATAAATTATAAAACATGTAATAATATTATAAAACTTTATAATAAGCACTCAATTGATTTGATCTGACGTAAACAATATCACCAATGCCGAGTCAACATACCATCTTATTTGGACTCTAGTTCAAATATTAATCTTACCCGAGCAAAAGCAATGTCTTCTTTGGAAACTTGAACTTCTGCAGTTGTGAACTGGTAGAAGTTTGCTCAGCAGCAACAACTGAATAACCTTCAGATTTCTTTTCCATGAGGTATTGCTTCAAACCACAAGGTCTCACCTCTTCCACATCAATCCAACGTTCCGCTGATACACTTAATATTGAGAAAGAAAAACACATATGAAGCTACGCATCCATTGGCCCGAACAGAACGCACCGTACGGTCCGCAACGAATTTCAGTTTGCTTTGTATGATTTTACATAACGCTGCGTCCATTAATCCGTACGTGAGGTGCGTCCGGTGCGAGCCAATGGACGCTTACCTTAAATGTACACAATTATTTGCTACTTATAAAAAATAAAGACGTAAGAGACTAAAGACCCAGAAAACGACAGATTAGATTAATATAAGTTTAAGCGATAAATCCATAGAATGCAGCATTAGTTCTTGCTAGAATTTGAAGGTTTTTTAACCTTAACCTTAACTTCTAGAAGAAACTGTTACTTAAACTTCATGCTATTTAGAAATATAAACCAAATACTAAAAGTTAATTTGATTTTTGCATACCTTAAGCCTTGAAATTGCTTATCCTGTAAATGACGAAGGCTATCGATAACATAAGTTTTAATACCGAACACTTCACTAGTGCGAGCTAATCCTCCAAGATTCGGCAGTTTATCGATCAATGATGCAACCACTATAAGTTCACCCTTTTTACCTTTCTGGTTATGAAAAAAAATGTATTAACACCTTACTCTTAGGCCCTTCGTATACAAGGCAACGTAAATCTTTAAAACCCGACGGATTCAATCGCTAAGCCTTTTATACAAAACAATGTGATAAAGATCCGTACACAGCGTTGCCGACATTTCTACCTCGTCGTCTAAGCCATCTGTTTGTTAAAATTGTCATAAGAAAAGTTGCGATTTTCAAGATGGCGGATCACATCTACTAAAACCAAAAGAACGCGTCTAAAATTCAAAGTTGTGGGTACGCGATTCACGCGACGTAACCATACAATGTTAGTTTCGTCAATTTACGTTGCCTTATGTATGAAGGGAGAGGTCTTACGTAATGGACAACTAAAGATGTAAGTTTTCTACCTTATCTTGAAGGTCTATATTTATGTCACTCATATTCGTCCAAGGAACATATTTCTTTTGGATAGTACCCTTTGATTCATCTTCTTCAACGGCTTCTTTCATGTCCGTGATCAAAACATCGTAAATATTATCATGTCTCTTTTGATATTTCGTCCATTCGGTCTTAAAAACGCTCTTTGAAACTTTCGCAAAAGAATTATCATCTATTTCTTGCAGAATGCTTTTAATAAAAGTCTTATCCACTTTTTCATTGATGTACATCTCACAATATCTCGGTAGAAAATAAAATATAAAACTCGGTATAAAATCTATGACTAGATCGAAGTCGTTCGCGAAATAATCTTTTTGAAGTTTTATAAATCCTTTGTCGCCAGAACTCTCTGTGAACGTTTTCCTTATTACTTGTATGGTGAAATTATATTTGTCTGATTTATTAATATTTAAATCGTAAAGTTTTGCAGCGAGATATTGCGCGTGCAATCTCAAACTAAATATTTGTCCCATAGTATGATAAAGGAGATTGTCCATTACAAATTCGTATTCATCGCTTTTTAAAGAACCATGTTTTATCCTAAATTTAATAATCCAAAACAGAATTATAAACTGTGATGTCAAAGGCATATTTTTCGACTTAAAATGCTCTACCATATTCTCACCAATTTGGACCTCCTGAGAAAAAAAAATATTAAAAATGTTTAATTACATTTTGTTACAATGCTGTTTTCAAATTAAAATCAATTATTTATAAATATGAAGCGTCGATGGCTCAGGGGTTAAGTACTTGACTCGTAATCCGAATCGCGCCATGTACTATTACGATTTACATATTTGCACTTATCCGAGGTTCTTACGGTATAGGAAAACATCGTGATTCATATACCTGCATATATGGGCAAAATAAATTTCAAAGATATGTGTCAATTCCCGTGTGAAAAAAGCTACACTGCTGGTCATTCTCCCGATAGTGGAATGCAGACTTTCGTTTGGCCACGTCAAATGGAGATCCATGGTATCTGCCTACCCCTCTGGAATACAGGCATGAGTATTGTGTGTATTGATAAAATATATATATTTTTTTTAATAAAATACTTTTAACATGTTACCTTGAAACAGTAGTATAGTGCAATATACCATTCCAAACAAATTCTAACACTTGGTTGATGAGGAATGGAACCTAATATATCCATACACCAGTCTGCAGTATTATCCATTTGGCTATCTCTAGATTTCAACAATATTAGAAGCAAAGTTTGCATAGCAGTTAACAATGTTCTATGTGATATTGAATTACCATGATAGCGTTTTTTACTTGTAAATATCATATTGATTTTATTTATAATAAATCTTATTATTGTGTTTAAAACTTCTTGATTATCAGCTTTACTTAATGCAGAGTACGATAAATATTGTATATGAAAATTAAAATGGACATCGTAACTGAAAGGAACACAGAATTAATTAATTTGAAGTATGACAAAATTGTTTTAAATAGCTGTCGACTGCCACCGCGTGGAATTAAAAAAAAACTGAATCAAAGTCTGGAAGAACACAAACACACTATGATCAACATCTGTGCCAAATTTCATGAAGATCTGTTGAATCGTTCCGGAGATACCTTGTAACAAAAAACCATCCAAACATCAGATTTATAATATAAGATTTGGAATGTAAGGTAAAACTATAGAATTTATTAGAAGATTCTTAATAATATAAGTGCGAAAATTTTAATGGATAGATGTTTGTTAGAAGATATCTCAATGATGGATCAACAGATCCCGAGGGGCAAATAGGCTACTACGTTTTTTTTTTACGACATACGCAATTGCATATGCGTTGCCTAGCATTAATCGACGGAGGAGAGGATGCACAGAAAGAAAATATTTTCCCTTCCATGCATCCTCTCATCCGGAAAGTCCACTTACACTTCCCATCCTTTCCTAACAAGAAAAAGGGTGGGAAGGGAAAGAGGACTAAATTAGGCTTCCGGGACACACACTCATTAGACGAAACGCGGAATTGCTTCTACTTGACGCCTGTCTTCTGTGTGGTCGTGGTATTTCACCGGGCGAACAGGGCCAATTCTTGCGAAGATATTAAAGCGGGCTCTACCACTGTTTTTTTTTTTTTTGAATCCTCGCGGACGGAGTCGGGGGCGACAGCTTGTATTAAATACACCATACAATATATTTTAATGTGTAATTCTTACCTTAGAGCGTCGGTAGCTCAGTGTTCAAGCACTTGACTTGCAATCTGCAAGTCCTGGGTTCGAATCCCGCCATGTACCAATGTGTCTTTCGATTTCCGATTTACATATGTACATTTATCCTATGTTCTTACGGTGAAGGAAAACATCGTGATGCTGCACATATCTGAGAAGTAATTCAAAGATATGTGTGAAGTCAACCAGTAGGCTCCGAGCCCCTCGGTTGGGAACGTTTAGTGAGCTGATGATGATGAATTCTTACCTTCTATTATCTATGCCATATTTATTTTGATTTAAAATTTCAATTGAAAGATTATCGGTAATCCTGGAAAAATATTGTTTATATTATGATGTATTAAATTTATTACATACCATAATTTATAACTCTCACCTCTGATCTTTTCTAGGAATTGGACAATATAATAATATGTCACAAAGGGCATATACCATTTGACTAAACATAGACAAATCTTTTCCATTGATTTCTCTTATTAGGAAGAATAACGGAGTATTCTTTATTGGACCGTATTCAATTATTTTATGCCAATATGACAAAAATAAATTGTTATATTCAGGTTTATTTAATAATGAATTTTCAGTTATTATATTAACAAATTCTTCAATACATTTTATATATTGATTATTGGTTTTTAATTCTTCTATTTCTTTCCACATTTTTTCTAAAAATAACGACAAATCAAATTCATGATCCAAAATTGGTATAACTTCTTTCATAATTTTAAGAATCCAAATCAAACATCCATAGCCTCCACACTCGACTGCATTATCAATAAAGCTTGTAAACTCTTTTGGCACTGTTTTCAAATTTTTATTTTTATTAATTTTAATAATATTGTATAGAATTTCACAATATTTTTCATACAAAATATTTTTAAGTCTGCCACTTCTTTCTTTTGTACTGGACTCTACAAATCCTGTCTTTGTTAGTTTTAAGAAATCTTCTATAGACAAAATTATATGTCCATAATATTCTATCATTAATGGACTTGTTAATAAAGCACTCAAAATATGTACGGAGAAAATCTTTACTTCTAAAACAACATTACTATCTAGAAGTAAAAGAATACATGACTTAAATACTTGTAATACAGTCTGAATTGAATTGTAATCACTTAAATTACCAATCATCGGTTTTAATCCAACAAATAATAAGTCAATTTCTTGTACACACAAATATTTGTCACTTCCCAACAAAGAAATCAAATATTCCAGTATAGTTTTATAAGCTGTTGCTGTAATCAGATTTATATTTTCTATAGCTGAATTATTCTTTCTTATTGTCTTACTAAAAATGTTTGTTAATGAAACTACATCATCAAAGCATTTCATTTTATCAGCAAATTGCCTCTGATTGATGTCTTGAATGTTTAAAATCATTTTATTAATCAATGTTAATAATCCCGTCACTTCTACAGGATGTGTTTGAATATAAAATAAACCAAAATCTATATTTCTTTCCACAGTTGTTATTAAAATGAATAATGATTGTATATCTTCAGCTTGTAACAATGTGTTTTCTTTTAAATACATTAGAAATGGGTTGCTATTCCTACTCTCTTCGATGTACGAATCAAATTGAAAATGTGAATATAAATTCAAATATTCTTTCCAATGCAATCCTTTACAACAGTTGCCAACTAAGTGTGAAATATTTACTAGAATAGCTTTACGTATAAGTATATTATTACACGAAATTTTTAAAATATTTAATATTGTTTGGGTGATACTCGATTGATCATATTTGCTTAATAAATCTTTTCGTACACTTGCCAATACTTCGCTTATATGAAATAATGGGACAGGGGCCCATTTAATTTCAGGCATTGTAGAAAGAATACACATTAAAGTTTTAATATCTGAAAACACATTTGATAGTATATTCTTAAGCTTATTGTAGTCAGTGTTCTTGTCAAATAGATATGTATCATTCAATGCATCTAGAAGTGTCTTTGCTTCTGATTTAACATATATTTTAAATTTTAATCTATTTTCGATGCATTTTAAACGAACTTGTGTATTATCATGTTTCAAACCAAGATTAAATATACAATTTAACCAATATTCTGGCATATCTTTTAATGTTTCAAGAAGTCTTAAAGATGGAAGGACAATATTACTTTGTTTCTCTTCTAAACTGTCTAGCACTATAAAGAAATTATTCCACATAACTTTCTGCTCATCCATATTTTTATATGTCCATTTAAATATGATATTATCCTCTGATTTTATCATTGCATCTTTTTTAAGAAACCTTAAATAATCAAGTGCTCGTTTAGCTAGATACATAGACATCTTTCTGTTTGTTAAATCAGACATTAAACCATCTAGAATGATCTCCCAAAACTGTTGTTTAAATATAATTTCTGACTCTAAAGTTATTTTACCATCTGCACTTGGTAAATAGTAGTCTGAAAGACAACTTAGTGTTTTAAGACCTATATCTGTCTTATTATTTAGCTGTATGAGATGTTTCCAAATTCTGTCCAATATACCATAACCATGGACACCTTTAAAGAATAATGGAACTGTCTTGGTTAGAAAATAACCTTTTAGCTTATCTTCATTACTATATAAAACATTTTCTAATGGTACTTCTAGAAATGGTAGTGTTAGAACATCATTGTTGTTTATAACTGCTTCAACAATACTACTGCATACTTTTAAATCAAGCATTATTTTTGTAACCTGATCCTCATTGACGCTCATCAACGGTTTAACAGGCTGTGATGGTAACTCCAAATTGCATAAGATTTGTTGAACCAAATGCTCCGACTTAGACACTAAAGTATTCGGATTAAGTGATAATACAACTTTAATTATTTTACAAATAATTTCTACGTTATCTTCTTGTAGATTACTTAATAATTTACTTACGAAACAAAATTCTTTATCATTATCGCATTCAGAATCTTCTCTTAAGTTAATAAGTTGTTTATATTTCAGTAAATGTAGAGCATTTGATAAATGGTTTTCGATGAAATTTGATCGGTCCATTATTGCTGCCAACCGAGTATCGACAACTTCTTCATCTAAGTCGAGCAGATCCATAAAAGATATTAAATCGTCACGGGGTAGCATTTTTAGTATTAAAAACTTAAATACACTCAAATACAATAATTCGGCGAATCAGTCCATGTGTTTGTTTCTGTTTACGTTCAACGATTTTTGACAGTTTTTTGACGTTGTACAAAGATGATAAATCCGTACTGACAAACAGGCAAAACGAAAGCAATAAAAATTCTGTGAACTTTTTTAAGTTTTAGCCATCTATTGAACAACTTAAGAAAGTATTTAAATTAATTTTATTTCGATTCCAATTTTCAAAAAAAAATCGTATAATTTATCTAAATAAGGAAGTAATGAGTGTGGTCACGTATTTTATTTTTGTGTTGAATTATGTTAAATTCAAAGGCCGACTTCTCTTGAATACTATAAGAAAAATAAAGTGTGTGTATTTGGTGTGCATAATACACATGCTATAAATTTAAGTTTAATCGATTTATTAGGTAAAGCAAATTAGGGCGATCAATTTAAATATTCTATCAGGAACAGGAAACCTTTGATTTTTATCTACAAAAGAAACGACATCATTTTAAATTAAATCTTTAAATATTACCTTCATTCATTTTTATTAAAATTATGGATATAAATTCATCTATAAGAACCTAATTAAACAAAAAAAAAACATTTGCACTCTGCAAATCATAACATCAGATAAAAACTTTAATAATCTGCACGACTTCACGTCTTTTTAGGTTTTTGGCATAGAATAAAAATCATTAAGTCAGAAAAAGAATAGGAAAAAATTCCATCCTTCATCTCATTGAATTATTGTTTTTATTGATGTAAAATAACGTTGTGATCTGTTTAGTTTAACATTTTAAGTGCTAAGTATCGCAAGTTGTGTGTTATTAGTTTTTCTGTTAAGCTGCTGTAAACTTAGACAAATATGGAAGATAATTCGTCTAGTGATGACGAGGTTAACGATTCTCCTGCAAGTCGAAAATTGAGTGGAAAAAAGATAAAATTAAACGATGGGACCTCACAAAACAGCGCTAAGGATGCAGGTATTATCATTATTCCTGTTATACGCTTTAGCATTTTAATTACGCATATAACATTTCCTTCTTCTCCTTTTAGCTGCAGAGGGTAGTAATAATAAAGAAGAGGTAGTGGATAGTGGTATATCCCCAGATAAATCGGAAAGTACGAGTAGTGATGATCTTTTGTCCGCTTCTGGCCCTTCAAATGTCGTGGTAAATGTTGGTACATCTGACAATATGGTACGGGTTATGATGCAAAACCTCCGTCACCACGGTCGCGATAGAAATTACCGGAAAAGAAAGACTCCAGACTCTGATGAGTCGTCGACTGACTCTGATGATTTTTCTAGTGAGATTCGCATAGTTCCAGATGATAATAATGATGGTGATGACATGCAACATCTTTTGACCATAATTTCACAAGATACATCAAGTTCGTAAGTATTATTTCTATATAAATTGTATTGATAAGAATATAGACTATGATAAATGTTGATACTATTTCATACTATTATGAGATGATTTCTCAAATGAAAGAGCTTAATAAGACTCAGGTCACGTAGTCTTGAACCATTGAGCTGTAGCTCAACATCTGAATTTGCATCTCATTGTGATGTACTATGACCTTCAAACTGATAGGTGATAGTAGGTTGCACCTTGAAACACAAATCAACAATGCCAGTATTATTTGAGATGGGCTGCAAGTCTATTCATTTGAGTTGGTTCATCTGCTTCACATATGTGAGTCATGAGCTGATCTGCAGTTCATAGTTGAGTTACCCATGTCTAAAATTACAATAAAATTATCTGTTATACAGAAGCTCCAACAGCAGTGGCAGTTCAAGTGGCAGCAGTAATAGTTCATACAGTAACTACAGCTTCGAGAGTGATAATGTCAACTTCCAACCTATGGACTCCAGCGATGATGATGGCCTCTGGGCGCACACTCCGAGCATCAATGCAGCTCTGATGGAAAACAATGAAGACTTATTAGGAAATAATACAGAAGGACTTTTTGGTCCCCCACCAAAAGTATTATTGAAGGAAAGACCAAAGCATGATTATATTATTGTAAGGGGTAAGTATAGGCCATTTCAATCTATTTGGTTGCTCAAGGTCAGCCACTTACTGCGCAGCTAACCTAATTCTTTGTCCGAGGTTGCTGCCAGCTCTTTGGTCTGCTGTGATGTTGACTAACTGTTTTGATATTTCCTTAATTTTCATTTAATGATATGTTTGAATATTTCAAAAACCAAGACTTATTCAAATATGACTAGTGGTATTATAAAATTCATTTTAATCAAAATCAAAGTTAATCAAATAACCTTTACATATTTAATGAAAGGGTTCTTAAGGGGCTATTTATTTATTTTATCTTATATATATACATATAAAAGAAAGTCGTGTTAGTTACACTATCTATAACTCAAGAACGGCTTAACCGATATGGCTGAAAATTGGTGAGGAGGTAGCTTATAGCCAGGAGACGGACATAGGATACTATTTATTCTTTTTCACATCACATCCATCAAATTTATTATAAATTAGATGGATGTGATGTGGATGGATGGATGGGTGTTTGAAGATATTTCTAGAACGGCTGAAAGGAACTCAATTAAATATGGCATACATATAGAACATAGTCTGAAAGAACACATAGGCTACACTAATTAAGTTTTCTTATATATCCACTCGGACGGAGTCGCAGGCGACAGCTGGTTTATAATAAAAGACGATTGAAATTAGTAATAGATTTTTAACTTAGTCATGTTTTTTATGATTAATATTAAAAAAGTTTTATCTGAATATGTAAATTAATTATAATCAATCAAATTTTAATGATCTTTATCAAAGAGATTGTTTTTTTACAAACACACTAACAGTAGTAGAGCCCACTTTAACATCTTCACACGAATCGGCCCGGCTCGCCCGGTGAAATACCACAACCACACAGAAGACAGGCGTCAAGTGGAAGCAATTCCGCGTACAGTCCGATGAGTGTGTGTCCCGGAGGTCTAATTTAGTCCACTTTCCCTTATAAGGAAAGTATGGGAAGTGGATGTGGACTTTCCGGATGAGAGGATGCATGGGAAGGGAGGATATTTTCTTTCTGTGCATCCTCTCCTCCGTCGATTAAAGGTAGGCAACGCATATGCGGTTGCGTATGTCTATGGGCAACGGTCACTTCGCTATTTCAGCTATTGCAGGTGGCCGCTCGCTCATTGCAACCTTATGATATAATAAAAACCCTAATCAAATTTGTTAATTTAAGATGATCATAAGGGCTATTAGCAATTATTACTGTGGTCTTTGATTATCTCTTTAAGAATTTATTTAAATAAAAAGAAATAAATGTAAGTATATTATAAATATCTGAAAGTGTTAATCTTTTGTTGCAGAAGTAATAAACCGAGAGATGGGTCTGACATTTCCCTGCGGTAAAACGGCGCAGAGCCCCATGAAGTTTGAGCAGAAATTCTATGGATCACTTCATGCAGTTTATAGACTTGAAAAACTGCACAATCTCAACAAGCACCATGGATGTGTTAACTCTATAAATTTCCACCCTGAGGGTAAGGATTTTACATATTTAAGTTTCCGCAGACTTAAAATATTTATTAAGTTGCCATTCTTCTAAATTATGTTCTACATCTGTGTGAAATTTCATCAAGATCCGTTGATCCGTCCCAGAGATACCTTCTAATATCTATCCATCCATCCATACATCCATCTAGTCTCGTATTATTAATAATAGTAATATTAGAATAATGTTGTACTAATTTTGCGACTTTTCTCTCCAAAGGGCATCTTCTAGCATCGGGTTCGGATGACATGAATGTTGTAGTTTGGGATTGGGCTCGCAACCGCGCCCTGCAGTCTATCAAAACTGGGCACAGGGCTAATGTGTTTCAAAGCAAGTTCCTCTATCTCAATGCTCGGAGCCAGCTGAATATTGTCACTTGTTCCAGGGATGGTCAGGTAACTAATAACCAAGCTGTGATACCTGATGATACCTGTTTGTTGTTTATTCCTCACAGATGACTGTTTTACAGCGAAATGCCATCTTAACAGATATAATATAGCACTCTCTCGACTCGACTCATGACTCGAGACCAATTTGCTTATAAATAATAGATCAATAAAGAAAAATTATCATAATCCAGTTGCTATTATAAAAATATAAATGTCTAAATACAATAAAACTAAATTTTGTAAACTTGAAAGAATCATTTGAGACAAAAAATTTCTCAAAGCTATAAAGAGCTGTTTGGATAAGCCATGATTTTAATCAAATTTTTATAGTCTATGTCTATGGGGAATAGTCCACCAGCCATTTCGACGAATTCAGTCAACCATGGCTGGTTTGTCAACTTCTAAAATAAAAAAACTAAATAAGAGATGATAAAATGTGCGTTGGTTAGGTGCGGCTGGTGCAGTGCGCGCCGAGCGGCGGGAACAGCGGGCCGGGCGTGGCGCGGCGCCGGCTGGCGACACACGCGCGCCCCGCACACAAGCTGCACGTGAGTGCGCAGGCGCCGCACGAGGTCATCTCGGCGGGAGAGGACGGACTCGTGCTGCTTGCAGATGTGCGCTCCAATACACCCACCAAGTATGTAACAACTTTCACAACACCTTCAACCTCACACACCATCAGATCAGATCAGATCACAGTTCATGTACGAACAGATCAATGAGCCGTCTCACAGCTGATAAACTCACTACGTTCAATGCAACTTTGCTTTAGTTATAAATTATTATGACGATACTGAATGTGTTACTAACTTTTTCCTGCTGAAACACATAAAAACAAAGTTAAATTATTTTTTTATAGAGAATTTTGTTTCGTCCGTATACCAACAGTGAGATGAATATATTACAGATTGGTGCACGTGCGTCGTGATGGTCTGACAGTGCCGCTGTACAGTGTGGATGTGGACTGTACCGGCAACAAGCTGCTGGTGGCGGGACGAGACCGATACATGCACGTGTACGACCGCCGCCGCCCCTCAGCCCCCGCAGCCTCATACTGCCCCTTCCACATCGCTATGGTGACTAGCTGCCTTCCTCAACTATATCCATATCAACGAGGAACTAAATTAGTAGCCTATATGTTCTTATAGACTGTTCTACATCTATGCCAAATTCGAATGAGATCCATTAAGCTGTTGTGATACTTTCTAAAAACATCCATCCATACATACATTCATACTTAATATTCTCATTTAAAAAATATTTCAGTAAAACAGTTAAACTCACATAACTAGACAACATCAGCTACCTTCTAGTACTAATTTATCTCGTAGTTTTTACAAAATAACTCAAAAAATCTGTAATGGCCACCAATTTGAACATTTCTCAATATTATACTTAATTTCTGTATTAGAGACGGTATTAAACTATTTTAAATCACCCTATGCAAACAATTATTTGTTATTTAATCAAAATGTCAAGATATTTATGAATAATAATATTATGTTTAACTTCCAGATGAATAATAAGAAGAGACAACAGCCTCTGAATAAGCATCTCACTTGCGCAATATACAACCATGACGGCACAAAGATATTGGGCTCCTACAACGACGAGGACATATACCTTATTGATACCAAACAAGATGAATATATCGAGGACAGGTCTGTTATTTTATAAAACGACAGAAAATATATTTATTATTGTAAGCGGTCACCCACGAATCCGTAAACGCAGAAAAAAAACAGAATTAGGAGGCTATGCGTTCTTCCAGACTATGTTCTATATGTATGCCAAATTTCATCGAGATCCATTCAGGCTTTCTGGAGATATATTCAAACAAACATCCATCCATCTAAACAATCTCATATATAAGTAAGATGTAAGATGTAGAATGTAAGTGGTATGTTATGATTGTAATAAATAACAAAAATACTTTTTGTGTAGTAAAGAAAAGTGATTTTTTATTATTTTTTTAAACCAAAGATGCATGATTTAAATCCATAATCATTTACGATGAATGTTTGTGTAGAAAATGTATGAGTAATTTAAATGTTAAACATAATGCACGCTGGTATGTAACAGAATATTTTTTTTTTGTTTTCTGACAGCAAGTTATTAATTTATTTTTTAATATATAGTGACATGTCAGCCGAGGACGCAGTGGGATACAGGCGGCGGTATACGGGTCATCGGAACAGTGCCACATTCAAAGGGGTGTCATTCTTTGGGCCTCGCAGTCAGTACGTGGTGTCAGGCTCTGACTGCTCTTATCTTTACATCTGGGATACAGAGAGTGAAGCTATTGTGCAATGGCTATATGCGGATATTAATGGAGTCGTGAGTTATTTATTTAGCAATATTCTTTGGTCTAAGGAAAGATTTTGATCTTAAAAACCAACGGTTAATTATGTTTAAGGTGAACTCAATAGAAGCACACCCGCGCTTCCCCGTGCTGGCGACTAGCGGCCTCGACAGGGACGTCAAGATATGGGTACCGATAAAGCAAGCTGATCCTGACTATGAGGGCATGGAGAAGGTATTTTATTATTTAGAGAGTTATTATTATATTTTAACCTATAAAAATATACGAATTCCAAATGTAACAAAAACAATGCACTGCTGAAACACTGAATGTAATTAATTTTTACTCTGCTTATCCACATTTTTGTTATTTGTTCCAGGTGATACGCGAAAACAGCGTGACAATGCGAAGTCCGTTATTCAATGACTTCCTGCCGGCGATATACAGCGCCTGGCGCGAGGACAACCCGCACGCGCTCGGCAGGAACCTGGACTTCGACGGCAACGCCTGCACCGCCTTCTAGAACATTCTGGAATGTTGTACAATATTCTGGAACATTCTGAAGTGTTCTGGAATCATCTAGAACATTCTGGAATGTTGTAGAATCTTGAATATTCTCACACTGCTCTAGTTTATTCATTTACCAAAAACCGTTCAAGTTTGCTAACACAATTGTCTCGATGATTAAATGTTGCATTTTCAAGTGAGTTTTCTATCGTAAATCAATACTTATGAGATCTCCTTAACGGCCATAACGACTGTTTGCGGCAGTAACTCTAAATTTGACAATAGTAACAAATAGTAAAATCATATAACTGCGCATTTGGCAACTCAAATAAAGTGCCCCGTCAAATCTATGTCAGAAAAACATTGACATTAAATATGTCAAATCAATCAAGCTATCTTTGCGACTTAATTGTGTTAACAAAATAACAGAGTTTGACAAAATTGGTTCTGTGCAGCTATAAATCTCTGTGTCGTTTCAATGTTGTTTGTGGTTTTTTAATCATTTCATAAAAAAATACTTATACTTATTTAGAATTTTAGTCAATCTTACATTTCGCATGCAAGACTAAAAATTCTCAAATAATTTTAAAGTAGTGTTGTATTGAAATAAATTCTTTACATTCAAATTGATTTTAGCTTTTTTCTTTTTTTATCTGTACGATTATTAATGAAAATTTTATTTAAATCTCATCTCCCAAACATGGCTGCATAGAAGCTACTAGTTCTTTTAAATTACAGTTTTACGACTATTTCGTAATTTAAAATATAAACTCATTCACTGTATTCCATTGTTACTTTTTAATTAACATTAAAGGGATGTTTTGTTTTTATATTTTATGCCTGTGATATAGTATTTTGTGTTCTACTATTGTAGTTTAGATTGTGTACTCATATTCGTACAATTTCAAAATTAATTAATAAAAAAAATTGTTAGAAAAAGAAAAAAAAACATTCTACGGTTAGGTGTTAGATGTTATTTGGAGAACCGAAAAACCGCTATATCTTATCGTATTCATTAAAATATTAAATTAGAAAGTGCTTGTTTAGTGGAATAATATCAAATGTTTGTTTTGCCTTTATAGTAGTATTTAAATAATATTTCGTATGTCATTAATATTTTAAAAGATTTCGTCACGTGAGTAATGGTAACACTTGAAATATTCTAAATTTAAATGTGATACCAATAAAAAAAATCTCTCTCTTTTAAACTCATAAACCTTTTTATTGCTCTAATAGATGTATTCATTTATCATATAATAGTTCCTTATCTTGCTAGGATATGTACTACATTCTACATGTGCTTTTTTCTTATGTTTTCATTTACATTTGTATGTGAGATATTGCATGATCCATAACATTCGTAAGTTAGTTTCAATTATGTAAATAAACGAAAAATATGATATTTAATGTATTTTCATTCAATTATAATTTATAGAATCGTTTAAGTGTCCTGGTAATTATTATTAACATAAAAGTAAAGATGATTGTATGTTTACAAACCCGATGATAAATAAAAGCATATCTTGGTATTAAACAACATATTCACTTTAATATTACAAAATCAGTCACTTAATAGAAGAATAAAATAAGTAGTCAGAATAAAAATGCGTCGACAGTACAACTTTAAAAAAAAATAGTGTGAAAATACCTGCCATGTTCTTTTGAGTGTCATTGAAGTTTCCCGCTATTCAAAATCCATTGATGCCAGCGCCGCGTAGCGTTATTATGTGAAACTAATGGCGTTTATTGATTATTATTTTCCCGGTTCATTTAATAAATACGTAGCACAAAGCATTTAATACAATATTAAACCATTCTCTATAGGTTTTAACATATTTTTACCATAATTTGGAAAAGTTTAAGTAATAATATAACAAAAATGCGATCTAAAAAAAAATACCCACATGCTAGTTAGGCTTGTTAATGGCGAACGGTTCCAACCAATCAGAAGGCCAGCGTGTACAAGCCCGCGCCATCTTCGTTTTCAAAATCATCTCCATCGCGCCCGCCCGCTCACTCGATCAGTCAGTCGTGCGTCGGGTTGGAGTAACCATATACCTAGCGTATTATTTCTAGTAATTAACAAAAATCAGAACAATCATGAGCACCAATGAAAATAACAGTGAAGTGGCCGTTGACAAGGTCGGAGACGAGAAAACTGGAGATGCGAAAAGTGATCTAAAAGGAGCCAAAAGGGCAGCAGAGGTGAGTGCACATGTCAAGCTAAATGTATTCATTTTAGCCGCTCGCCATTTTATTGAACGCTTGCAATATAGGGTAAAGTTAATACGGTCAAATTTTAAAACTTATGGCCCACGTGGTTATGGAAAGTGCTTTACAGGAGCGTTGAAACATTGAGGGCCGGCGTATTTTTGGATGTCATTTCAGACTTGATACATATTTTAGTATGTGAGCTAATCGATGAGTCAGTACTAATATAAGTTATACTTAATGTGCTCAATACTTTATACATGTAAAATCGATTTATCTCCAATCTTTTGGAGGTTTCCAGCTTTGTTTACCCGTTTTACGAAGGCATGACCTTGGCAGAAAAAAAATATGGCGCGGGAACGTACGCTTGTCCTCAATGATTTAGATATTATTACAAACAAAAATCAAACTCGTCTTGTCCCTATCTCGATTGCAAGCCTTGATATGAATATTATTACTTGTGGTCTGCTGCTATTTTTGACTAATTTTCGCACTTCGATTTACGGTCGTGTAGCGTGACGCTAAATGGAAACATGGCCGGCGAATGTCAGTGTGTGTTGTCTTATGTAGCGTAGAAGTTGATATTATCATTTACTTAATTTTGCTTTCCTAGCAGCACCAAGGCTACTAATCAAACTACGTAGAAGCTACAAATTATACAACTCGCACAGTTGTGAATTTATTCTGCTAGTACGTTACACTAAACTGTAGTCAATGACCCGGCGTATTTGCATGTAGGTGTTTCGAGTGTTATAGTAGATCAGACTTCCTTTGTTTTATCCATTGAAAACTCAAATAATCAATTTTGAAATGTATTTGGATTCACGAAATAGGCGGGAATTTGGAAAATTATCCCCAAGAGCTAGTATATCTTTTGTCTCTGTCGCACAATGTAACCTAAATACAAAACACGACACAAATGTTATTCGCGTGTGATATTTATTTTAAAATGTAAAATAAAATTGCTGAAAGTGTTATAAGAAGCATGCGCTTAAATTTAAATTGCCATGCTTGTAAACTGAGATGGTGTTCTTAGCCATAGCGTTTAGTCTGTTGACTGTTGTGGCGTCATGGGTCGGTCGCCTTCCGTTAAAATTTGCCACAGCAAATTCGGCCGTATGGCACCGGTACCGCACTTCGCCTTTCTCTTTCCCCCACATGAATGTAACCCACGCTATTTTATTTCTACTGTACAAATAGTTACCACCTGCTATTCATTATCTTGTTTCAGAAAATGCATAAAAATGACATACTCCGTTGGTCGATTTTAGTTCGCGCAAATTGTAGAATACATCAATTGGCTGATAGCCAGTTCTCACTTGTTTGATCCACTCAAACTAGTAAAAAAATGCAGTATTTTGTAGTTCTGTACATTCCTTTTTAAGGAACAACATTTCCCGCCAAATAAATTTGTTTTTTTTTTGCATAAGGACAAAGCGATAGAAGCAAAAAAGGCGCGAAAAGAAGAAAATGGCGGCGGGGACGACGAAGCACATAGTGAAGAGGACGATTTGGAAGGAGAAGGCGAAGGGGAGGAGGACGATGATGAGGAAGTAGACGAAGGTGACGAAGATGAAGAAGATTTAGAAGAGGGCGAAGAAGACGATATCGAAGGTAAAGTATTTGTTGTTTAAGTTTGTAAAAACAATATTTGTATAAAATAGTTGAATAATAATCACAGACTTTGAATTAAAATTCTTGTCACCTAAGTATGCTGACCATGTTAAAAGTACGTATTTTAATAATAATTAATGTTTTTGTTGCAGATGAAGAGGTGGAAGAGGAATTATTAGGGGAAGAGGAGGAAGAGGATGCGTAATACGCTCCGTGCCTCTATAAGGACAATGTCACAGTGAAGTGTTAGTGCACGTGACGGCCCGGACTGGCGCGGCCTCGCTTCGCCCCAACGCACCCTTCGGTGCACCCTTATATTGGACAATTGAAAATGTTCCTTCACACTTACACCGCAAGTTGCGCCGTTTTGAGACTATATGTGTCTCAAACTGTATAAGAAATAAACATGTTGCCATTTAAAGTTTTAGTAGTCGAATTTTAGTTCGCAAATTGCCACATAGTTATGAATTAATAATAAAATGGACTAATATAAGGGTGCACCAAGCCCGGGCCAGTGCTCGCGGCGGCTAGTTGGGAACACGCGGGGCCGACGACGCTCCCACCTAAAACGGGTGCAGTTAATTTAATAAATGACAACAAACCGTAATTAAGTCGAATCCAATGCAGATTTTCAATTTTTTACAATGTTATAAGTTTTAAACAGAAAGCGGTCCGATGTACATTGCGGCGCTCGCTGCTAACAATTAAGACTTAGTGGAATGCTGTTGAATTTTTGTCATGAGATGTACAAATGTGTTTTCTTTTTGAAAGTAAACTTTATGTCTAAGTGAAAATTTGCTCTGTATTTAGAAGTAATCCTATGAGCCCGTTGTGCGGCAAAGTTGTGATATTTTTCCATGAAAAAGTCCGAAGAAAACCATTTTTTTATTTTGAAAATGTGTTGCAAGCAGAGCCAAAATTATCCTTTTGTATAATCGAGAGATTGTGTATATATAAAGAGTAAGTGAAGCCTGGCATTTTGTAAGCGGCAATGCAACATAGCGTGTTTGCTGCAATTCATATACCACTCTTTCTGTTTTTCCGGCGGCACCTTCGGGCCATAATATGACCCGTGTAGTTTCGGCGGGGACGAAATTCCCGCCGCATAGCGCTTGTTATAGAATCTTTGAATTTGTAAAATTGAAGTGGGTCGGGAGTTCGTAGCCCGCCACTGGCTTCTGCTAATCGTGCGGTAGAGTTCACAACAAAGAGCGACTACTTTTGATAGAAAAACATCACAATTTTGCTACACTATCTCGCTGCGCGCGCCCGTCGCCCGCTCGACTGATAAATAGCGTGACGGTTGGCGCGGCGCGTCGCGACACCCAACACCTATAACCGGCCCGTAACTTTGTCCATATTGTTAATTAGGATAGAACCTTCAGTTCGGTATTCCAATTACGAGGTGTGGACTAAGAGATTCCTAGGTTAAAGTGATCTAGTAAGTAGTTGGTACGATATATTTTATGAAGAGACGCCCGGGAAGTCGACCGGTGGCGGCAGCGTGCGGGCGGAGGGGAGGGGTACGCGTCGCTGCGGCCCCCTCCCGCGCGCGCGTGGCCTCTTTCGATTTGCCGCGGCCGCCCCCCGCCACCGCCCGCGGCGACCCGGCGGCGTCCGGCGCCCCTCGTACCGCGGCACGGCGACGCGTTCCCGCGCGTGGAAAATAACCGACATCACGGTGTCCATTGCCGCGCGGCCGACGCCGGTCGGACGGCGACGACCGCGCCGCCGCTCGTTGGACCGCGACCGCCGGCTGACGCCGGCGGCCTGCATCACAATAGTCGAGCCACGTCATATTTTTTTTCAGCTAGCATAGACTGCGGGGTTATTCGAACATTTACACGAGAATGCTTCGTTGTCGTTCGCGCATCGAAGGGAGCAGAACTGTTTTCATTAGCATCAATTGACATAAAAATAAAACGAAAATGAAATTTAATTATCTTATGAATTAATCCTATCGTGTCCCGCCTTTCGTTTGTGGTAAGAATGAGCTGTTTTCATATTGTGTACGTCAAATGTGAACCTTAGAACGATTTATTTATTTGTGATAAACACTTGATTTTCTACATTTGACAAAATAAATGTAAATACAACCGATTTTAAGTAAAAAAACGTTATTTTGTTTCTTAGCTTATTTATTTGTACCCGAGTAGTTGAAGTCGCTTATACTGATAAAACATGAGTTGCACACGAGCATTAATAATTTTAAAGATAGCGCTATAAAAATATATGTTGCGCAACATCAAGGCGGCCGTTGTTACCAATACGGTACCTATTTGCCTAAAATAGTCGAAGAGGAGTCAATCCTGCAATACTTTGCAAAGTGCTAACGAGGTCTCGAGGTTTTTCTTGATTGCAGACACTAAAAGTAATTTTTACCTAAAACGTCATGGGTATTAAATTATTATTACACGAAGTTATGCGATCAAGCAGAGGGTTGTAGCTTAGGGGGAGCCGACTTAGGGTAGGCACCCCATTTCCGGACTTGCATTTATTACTATTTGTTCTGGTAAGTGTTACAATGGTGTTATTGCACCTCTTGTATATATTTTATTAAATTATATTAAATCTATTCATAAAAGCAAGTCTCCGGTAAATATGTCAATGGCATTTCTAGAAGACGGCGTATAACGGTATACATTTAGGAATGCGATTCACATCGTCTTCTCACAACTAGCGACCTCTGTCAAAAATATTCTGCTAAATGCAAGGTTGTTCTAATAGATGGCGCTATTTTAAACCTCTGTTGTGCTATTATCTCTGGTATGATAAAAATGAGCGGGCTTTTTAAACTACACAATAAGAAGCTATCTTGTGATGCGGGTTTAAAGTATTGGAAAGATTGATAATTTACCGTCGTTACGTAATTTATAATGCATATTTATATGTTTTATTAACTCTATTTGATACTTTACTACCTGTAAAGTACTATAACTTGTAGAGAAACAACAAATAAAAGATATGGTGTAGGTAAAATAGTTTTTTTTTAATAGCAAAGCTGATCCATCTCGTGGGATGCAATCTATACAGAGAGAGAGAGAGAGAGTTTTTATATTAATAATAAGTAAAAGTTTACAAAATGACAGTTAACTGACTAGCAAGATAGGTTCATGTTGTAAATGATCCTTATCCACTGCTGACGGACGTTGCAATCTATGTCTGCGAATACTTTCAAGGTTGTATTTGATTTGTTGCAAAAAATGTGACAATCTTTATTTATTAACTACATTTTACATAGACAAAATTTATCCATTCAGCCTTAGGTCTACTGCTAAACGTAGGCCTCCCGCATAGATCGTCGAAAAATAAAACAGTTGAAAAGAAACAAATATTACTAACTACGGACATAACTTTTGTATTTATATAATATTTCTAATGCAGGCGTTGCGGGCTTTTTTCAACGCAAAGGGGAGTCAAGAGTTATGTCTTGCCTCTCCTTCATCACAAGTTTGTATAAACTTGTTCTCGAAATCGAGATTTTGATATGTAGTATTTAGGTAACCAATATATTGTATTTTGGTTAGGTTTACCGGTTTTAATGAAACAAAATGCTTTTACGCCTTTGTTTACTAGTATGGGTCATCGTTTAACAATGGGTAACCTGACCATATTGGATTGACACCTTGTTAATGTAATGTGCCTTTGTGATCGTGACGTATCTAATTTGTTAAGGTTGAATGATTCAATGAGCCACCGCTCAAGTCCAATGGCGCGACAGTGCTAGTCTCTTCTTGAACTCACAACGCTGAGAACGTATTTTTCTCTTCAAATAAAATTACTTCGAACTTAAATCGTGCTACGTTAATAAAAAACAATTTTTAATAAAGCTCAACGATTATTTTTTTTTATAACTAGTATTGTGAATTAAAAAGATATTTGTTTAGTCTATGGTATTTTGGAGGCAAAATGTGAGGTGTTTGAGTGTGGACTGATTTTTTTACAGTGATTGATCCAATTTGCAAGGTAAACAGATTTTATAATTTAACAAGAATGCACTGCTGGGGTAAAGAACACACATTAATAAAACTTATTTATAGGGTATTAAATGGGATTAACTCCACAGGTTTCAGCTAATAACATTTATATTCACGTACTTTCATACCCACACCTACAAAAGTAGGCAGAGATTATAGATTTGGTATTAACGGCCCTGGTATTGTTTTTTATTACTATGAAATAAAAATAGAATTAATTTGCGTATTAATCTTTTACAATAGAAAAAGTCTTACACACCTTTTGGATTGTCAATTTCTTTTAACCGAGATATCCAGAAACATTACGAATAATAATATTTAAATTTCCTTTGATATTTTTGTGACGAGTTAAACGTTCTTGATCGGGAGTAAATAACAAACCAAGGAAGACGACAGTTCAAAAAATTAAAGTAACAAGAAAAAAAATATAGACATCAGAAGAAGTATCAAAAATGACCGACTCATTTTTAAAGAAATTTAAAACAAGTACCAAGACTACAGAGCTGGGCTACGTTTTACTTTAGCAAGCAATGGTCAATTTGACTTCTCTTGTTATGGTCAAGGTCGATCGACTCAATCACACATTACTTTGCAAAATTGTCTCTTACATGTGTATACTTTTGCATATTTTTGCAGCGGATTTTATGACTCATTATTTGAGGTAGAAATAAATGAAGGATGCGTGCGATTAATTGCGTAGTTACTGCAACTAACAAATATAAACAACGTCATCATTCCTACAGAAAATTTTGAATTTTAGTAGTATCGAGTAGAGGTTTTTCTATATATTTTGGGCCAGTATGACTGGTGGAATCGGATTAAAATGTGGCTAGTCATTGAGAAAAATAAATGCTCATCCCTGATGACCTTCAGTTAGTTTTGAGGTAACTGCTCTTTTTACCCGAATGACGAAGGGTTATATTTTTTGCTCGCATGTATGTATACATATACTGTTAGGTAAAATCCGACACTGTTCCGGTGTACTGGCACAACACTAGCCTTACTAAAATGTTGACGCCTATGTCCCCTCACTAATGATTCTGACACTTGACTAGGCTATGAAAGCGCGCCATTCGCGCCAAAGGATTGTAATTAATAAATGTTTTAAAATACATACAAGTATGTCAATTCCATTGTGACCTGTTGTATATAGCCTAAACGATTATATTTAATTTTAAAGACTGAAGTATCTTTCGATTCGTATTCTTACTCGGAGTGTGAAATGTGTACTTAGCCAGTCAGTAAGTTGGTTACTAGCACTTGAAATAATTATAAAAATATCCCGGCATCAATATTTGAAAAACGAATATTCAAAGGACAGTGACGTTCTTTCATAAATAGCATAACTTCTGTATTCAGCCAACATTTAAAACCCTTTTGTTTAGCCAGATCGGACGCTTGATGTATTATTTAAGAAAAACGTTTACATTGTTTATATTACTATGAATAGAACCACAAAGGTTAGTAACAATGTTAATCTATTTTATCTTTAGTAACACAATGCTCTGATGAATTGTGTATACAGTATCATCTGACATCTTTTGTCTTTGTGTTTTGTTATCAAAATGAAGTCATCATCATCGGTGTACGATAACGGTATCAGGTAGACGAGTGTTGTTTGTGGGTTTCCACTGTTGACTTGTATTCATACATATTTTTGTCCAGCTCATAATCTTTAAAATAATAGAGATAGAAATATGATAAATGTATCTACAGTTTAATTTATTTCTATACTATACTAGCTGTTGCTTGCGACTCCTTCCGCACAGGATTAAAAAATAAACGTAATCAGTAGCTCATGTGTTCCTCCAGGCTATGTTCTACGTCTATACTAAATTTCAGCGAGATTCATGCAGCCGTTCTAGAGATATCTTCAAACAAACATCCATCTAAATATTCGCATTTATATTATTAGTAAGATATGTTGTTCGTCTTATCGTTGCTTTTGTTTTGAAATTCGTAATGGTATTCGTTCTCTATACCCTAATCCTAAATCAGAGATAGCAAATCCTTTACGAATCTGCGTGCCATTTTTCTAAAAAAAATATTTAATGGGATCGTGCCATCAAATAATTATCACTTTGTGATTATTAGGAACATAAATATAACACCTAATTCACATGCTTTTTCTTAGTTCATATTGAATTTTATGATCATTGAAGTGCCCAAAATATTATAACCCGTGCCATTGGTTCGTCATCCCTGTATTAGACCTTTCTTCATAATTTTTCTTATTAATAAATAATAAAGTAATATTATATATTGTTTAACTAAATTATGTAAATTATTTTCTGATCTTCTTTGTTATTTGTTTTTCTACATGTTTTTAGTTTTATAACGTGATTTATTTAGCATTGAATTTAATGTATTCTTACGTTTCTCTAGGAAAGGTCACGTCTCTGAAATAATAAAATATTCAAATAAACTAACCTCAATCTTTATTATAATTTCGCACGAAACAATAAATAATTTGAATAAGTAGATATTATTGAACGCAGAGACGTAAATTGAAACGTTGGTTATTTGTCTTTGCTAAGGTTGGCATCTTATTTATAGGTATTTTTTTCATTAATTTTTATCATCATCATCATTCACCTGGTTTTATTTTTGATTGCGTGTCTATGGGCACATTACAGAATATAATATTAAGAAATTGTGCATAGCTTACGCACGAAAGTGGTTCTCCTTGGACAACTTGTCACACTAACCAAGCTGTACGCGACTGTACCCGCTCTCGGCAAGTACAGTCACGATCAACGATAACATCATATTTAATAAACGATTATTTCCACCATCATACCTATAATCTAGTGGTAAAAAATATTTACTTGTTTTTGACACGCCTTTTTCTTTTTTTTAACATCTGAATGTGCATAAATCGTAAAACGTCAAATAAATATGATTACTGTTTTTTTATTCCTATGTATTAATTTTAGTCCGTGATTTCTGAACGAAAGTGAAATTACACGATTACTCTCTATTTAAAAATCGATTTTAGAAAATAATCGATTGTAATCAATATTTTAGTTGGATTATATTATATATTACGTACCTTAACATAGTTTAAACTGATCAATGCAATTTGTATTCGGCCTCGTCGGCCAAGGTGAGTGATTCTTGATATAAAAAATCTTGCCTTTTAACGTAATATTTTGATTAAGTAACACTGCACTGAAGCCAAAACAACAAAGGTTAGATATTGTAAATATTTTTACCGAAACTGGAAAAGTGTTATCACTTAGAAAATAAAGTAATATTCTTTCATAGATTTTTTTTTACTTAAAAATTAAACATTTTTTTTAAAGTAAGTATTTTTACTTTACATTATTTCGTAGGTCGGCGATTTTTGCGACATTTGCGCGTCTTATAACCACGGCTTTGAAAAGCAAATAGGTGTTTTTGAATAACTGAAGGTTCTGCCAGGATATTCTTCCTACACTACGATTTGTTTTTTACACAAAAATATTAAAAGTTTACTCACGTAGTCATAAAAAGATTATTATCAACTTTTATGACTATAGTTGCTTACAGAAAATAGAAATTAATGCAATGATTCTCGTAAGTATGCCAAAGTTATGTTTATACCATTAAAAACTAATCTAGTTGTTATTACTTAGAACTTAAGGTTTGTAATCGAATGATAAACATTTTGAACTTTGCAAGAGGTGAAGGAACTACGAATGCTTGCATAATTTGAGTGTCGCGGCCTTGACATGATTTATTTAAACATAACTCATCTGCTTTGAAAATATAAGACTGCTGTTTATTAACTATGCTACGCATCTGTATGTTAGTTATTGCCTTTTTCAAATATATTAAGTCGCATTTTAATAAAATAAATGACATATTCAGGATAATTTAAAGGTAAATAAACTTGGTAACGAGGAAAACAGAGGAAATATGGAAATAGAATAAGCTAACAATAAAACTAGCAGTCGTCCGCGATTCTGTCCGCGGGATTAAAAAACTTAATAAGTAGCCTATGTGTTCTTCCAGACTATGTTCTACATCTGTGCCAAGTTCTAATAAGATCCGTTGAGCCGTTCCGGAGATACCTTGTATCCAAACATCCATCCATTTAAACTTTCGCATTTATAATATTAGAAAGAGGTAAGTTTGTGAGGAGCTTATCGTACGGAAAATATATATTTCATCTGTATAATATCGTTTTAGTAAAACAGCATCGTCTCTTGCAAAACAAACGGCATCGGTTACAAAATTATATATACACGTAAAGACAAAGTTTATGCGTATTTATTACCAATGGTTACCAGTAATTGCGATGCTTTTATCTGTTTACTGCTGTAAAAGATATGCAGTAATTATAATAAATAGCTGGCATGTTATATATAGAGGTAACCTTGTGTATTGGCAATAACAGCCTTTCTCAGAAAAGGGTGGGGAAAAGAATATTCAACTTTAACGTATTCAATATTTAACCTATTGACATATCACGTTATCTCTGTCTTTCATCTTTGACAAAGCATAGATAACAATATGATTTAAACGTGGATTTTAGTCTATGAACTCATGATAAAAGAATCATTTCATCCAACCTTTGTCTATGGTTTTGACGGATAGCGGAACCAAACTAACAACGATATCGAGTATCATGAGGCTTTGATTCACATCGATTACGATTCAATCGAAGCGCACCACTCGATATATCGACAATGACTATGCCCTACTTCCGTGAAACGTGGTCTGCGTTAATGCAACGGTTGAAGGAAAGCGATCGAACTAGACCCTGGCCTTGTGGTGACCGGAAATATTAAATTGATTTTTCAAGTTCATTATTTGAAATTGTTGTTCTTACTAATAATTTAATATAATAAAATACTTTTGTACATTCAAGGCAGAGTTAGCCATTTTCATATTTGTTGTTTGAGTTTTGATATTTATATAATAGCAGTCCAGCCTGTAAATTAGTCTGATACATTCGTGTTATATGCGTTTATCAAATAACTCAAGTTTTCTTTATTTGTAGATAGTCTTGAGAAACTAGTGAAAGTATTTGTGAGAAGAAATCGGATGGTTGAGCGGGTTAACTTGAAAACAAGTTTCTTTAAATTATAGGAATTATTGCGTATACGTTCTTTATATATATATATATATATATATGTCTAAGCTTGGTTCATGACGTTTTGGATATGTCAAAATAGACCAGCTCTTACTGCTAGAGCTATCTACTGACAAACAGCGAGAACTTAGTTGCGCACCTATCATATAAAATTCAATTTAGAAAAGCCTTGATTATGTGCGAAATTTGACATTAAAGGCCAATTTTTTTCTAATTGTTGGCATTTGTGCTTGATTGTGACAAATAACATGTCATTATCAATCAGAGTTGCCATATGCTATATCTGCATAAATGCATTTTTTTTACTGCGAATTGGCAAATGAATAGTGTAATTCAGGCAAGCATTACTGACCGTCGAATAACCTTGTTTACTAAAAAATAAAAGCGATAAAAACATTCTGTTTTGTGTGATAAATATTTTACGTGGGATTTATCCGGTTGAATTTGACGGTTACGCAATGAAAATTATTAAAATTATTGACACGAGCACAGAAGAAAGATTTGAAAACAAACAATATACTCGGCTTTATATTTTATGTTTATTTGGCGGAACTAATACTTGAATAGTATTATAGTACCGTCAAAATTCGTAGTAATTTTTATCGCAAATATTCATTATTTTATAGTAAACAAACAAAATGCTCTGTAAACTATTTGAAGTACAAAAATTAGCATTTGTATGAAAAATGTAATTATCACAATTGCTCGCGTACAGTATTAGCATTGCAATTAACTCAATGTTAGACGACTCAGGAGTAAATTAAAAATGTAACTAACCAAATATATTACATTCCAAATAATACCGTTAAGTTATTAGACTTTCATACTTAGAATCGTTTTATAATTAGGTACTTCTAATTGTAATGAAAATCTCCACTTAGTTGCTCCGTTACATACTTGCAAAAACAAAACAGTTCACTTTCCCTCCGTAATTTTCCAATCGCGGATCGGAAAATTTCGTGAGTGTTCCAATAGACTCTTAACCTAAAAAAGTACCTAATATACAGCATTATTGTAGAATGAAAGTAGCATTTAATATTGTTCCGGTAATTCATAATAATTAATAACCATTGTTCCAGATGTGGGCATTGTTATGTCTCGCGGTCAGCGTGTGCGCTGCGCATGGGCTCCGCGTGGGCGTGGGCATCGCTGACGTCACCGGACCCCCAGCAGAGATCGGCTTTGTAAGTACTTTTAACCTCTCTACTTATAAACGCGTGACGTGTATAAATTTGTTATTAAAGTCCCTTTACTAAATAAAATGTCCTTGGGGTAGAAATAAACGGAATTACTGCTAACGCCATCTCTTGTCGAAAAACACAACTACAAAAGTAGTTGTGATGTCATAAAATGTAAAGTGTTTAAAAACCTATTAATAATTAAACAGATAATAATTAATCTTTGGATATTAAAAACACGTACGTAACAATGAAATAATAAACAACAAACAGAAACAAAATTCTCTGCGTATTAAAATAAGATTCAGATTTCTTTTCATATGCTACCAATAGATGGCTCTTAAAAATATACAAACGAGAACATACGTTAAATTTAAATTGAATTGCTTTCGTTTACATTTTTATATATTGTTAAATATTTATCATTATTGCAGATGGGGTACGCGAATTTCGAGCAGAGCGGGCAGGGAATTCATTTGCGTCAGTTCGCGCGTGCGTTCGTGATCGCCGATGACAACAGCCGGCTTGTTTTCGTCTCCGTAGATGCTGCTATGATGGGCAACGGAATAAGGAAAGAGGTTAATTCATATTAATTTATCATCTCCCTGACCTCATCCTATATTATGTTGGTATAACAGAATTTTGCACAAAATCTAACAATTGGCATTTTATTCCTCAATTTCTTTTTTTAGATTTAGAAGGTGGTAAACGTAACGAATCTTTTTCATTAACGGAGGAGGGGACACACACAAAGAGGATATTTCCCCCTATGCGAATACTTTTTCGCAATCAATTCATCTCTCCATATAACCAACCATCCAAAATCTAAAACTTTTTACAGCTACTTTCAAGTGCTTAATTATACCTCATATATTTTATACAAGTGTAAGTGGGAAGTGAATTTAATTCCTTAACTACAATATGCAGGTACTAAAGCGTCTACAGAAGCGTTTCGGCGATTTGTACACAGAGAACAATGTGATACTGAGTGGTACACACACGCACTCCACGCCGGGGGGCTTTCTTATGGACTTCCTCTTTGACCTGCCCATACTTGGCTTTGTTAAAGAGACATACGTTGCTTATATTGCTGGAATACTAAAGGTAAATACGAATATATAATTGAACTTTAATAGATTGTTATAGCGCAGTGGCTAATCTAAACCCATCGTTCAATCCTCAACTAATAAGATTTTATATTTTTGATTCTTAAGGTCTTTGCATTCGAAAAACATGACCTTTTTAGGTATCGCATAATTTTTTTGCAGCGTATACAAAGTTTAGATTAAATTAACTTTAGTTTCTCTAAAGGATAGAATATTGATTTCAACAGTCAAACACAACCATTTTATACCTTAAATTGAATAAGTTTGCAACCAAAGACCAATTTTGCCTAACTTCCCCTATCGTATACATCATATGTTTGACAGAGCATCTACATAGCACACAACAACATGAAGCCAGCACGTCTCGAGTATGCGGAGGGTGAACTTCTAGATGCCAACATCAACAGATCTCCCACCTCTTATCTCCGCAACCCGCCGGAGGAGAGAGCCAAGTAAGTCTGCTACTATGGAAACACATCTCTCAGTCCTTGTCTCACTTGTAAGGTTTTCATCCTTCATTTAAGTCTTCATTGCTGTTTATGTCACCCTCACAAACTATCCATCTTTTCCTACTTACGCATAAGAACATATCTTTAGCATCCGCCATCTATTCAAACGTAAAGATTTAAATCAGTACCGATTTTAAGTAAGAACTAATGTTGCTGGTGTAGGCAAATTGCCAACATTTAGAAGACAAGAAGGTCCATATTTGGAACATATATTGGAAAAATAGATAGATGTAAAAAAAACTAAAATTGTAAATTTGTTATCTGCATTAGTATTGTTTTAACTTTAATAAAGTTTTTATTATTCTTACGATATTTCATTTATAAATTCTTGCTTGTTTTTTTATTAAAGTTTTTTTAAAACGTCAAATCTTCTACTACAGTTGATCTTTGTACTAGGATTATGATATTATATTCAGGTACAAATACGACGTGGACAAGACCCTAGCGCAGGTTCGGTTCCTGGGCCCCCAGGACAAAGTGTTGGGAGTGATCAACTGGTTTGCGGTGCATCCCACCAGTATGAACAACACCAATCGACTTATTTCCTCAGACAACGTCGGATACGCATCTATTCTCATGGAAAAGGCTTTGAATGGACCCAATACTTTGCCTGGAAAGGTACACTTTTTCCCCTTTTTGACAGGATTGCAAGGAGATAAAATAGGAATCAGGATACTTGATGTTAAATGATCGCTAGAAATAAACGCCTGCAAAAATATATTTTTTAACAGATGGGTTAATTTTTGTTGAACATAAGAGAGGAAAAACTAGGGATATTTTGTTTTAATAATTTGTTTTTGATAACTCGTCTTATTTGATTGTGTTCAGATTCACCAGTTTTTCCAAATTTTAGGAATATCGCTGCGCAAAACTTCGTCTTCTTTTGTCCATTTTAATTGCATTGGTTTCCAGGGTAGCGTGGTGTGCGCATTCGCGTCCACGAACCTGGGCGACGTGTCCCCGAACACGCGCGGTCCGGTCTGCGAGTTCAGCGGACTCGCGTGCGACCAGAGCGCGCTCTGCGGACACAAGGAGCGCTGCTTCGCCTCGGGTCCGGGACGCGACATGTTTGATAGCACACGCATCATTGCCACCAAGATCTTTCAAACCGCTATGGTATGTTGCTATTTGTACCAACTCATTTTCCCTTGTGACCTTCATTACTAACTTTGGATGCGCTATTATTTGTAGTCGGTTCTGAAGCAGCCGGGCGAGGACCTGACGGGTCCAGTGGGCGTGGTGCACCAGTACGTCGAGATGCCCAAGCAGGTGGTCGCGCCCTTCGATCCCATCACCGATACGTTTAATACGGTAAGCGATTACGATAAAAACATGATCTTATTTAGTGTCCAGTTCGCAAATACAACCAGCATCACTTGACCCCTGTGTTCCCAGAGCGCCAAGGTATCGGGGTGTCTGCCGGCGATGGGGTACAGTTTCGCGGCGGGCACGACGGACGGGCCGGGAGCCTTCGACTTCACGCAGGGCACCACCACCTCCAACCCGCTGTGGAACGTAGTCAGGGACTTTATCGCCGAGCCCACCAAGGAGGACATCGACTGTCAGGCGCCCAAACCTATACTGCTCGCCACTGGCAGGGTGAGTGGACAGTTTTACTATGCGCTTCAAATAATAATATCCACGTTCAATTTCACGATAATATAATTATATATGAGTGCAGACGTTTTTAATTAGTTTATAAGTGTAGTAAACTATAATAGCCCAGTAGCGCCCCCTCTGGATATCACAAAGGTGATCCAAGATTGTTCTTTCCGTGACCGACTTCCGTCAAATTCTCTTCCTTAAACGAAACACGACTAAAATTTGGCTTTCGGCATCAAAGTCACCAGTGTTGCGTGCCCTCTGTGTGGTACCACTATTGAAGCAGCTTTGTAGTGTAAAGTTTGGTGTTCAGGCGAAGTTCCCGTACGAGTGGCAGCCGCGCGTGGTGTCGTGCAGCGTGGCGCGTGTGGGCGGGCTGGTGGTGGCGGCGGTGCCGGGAGAGTTCACCACGATGTCGGGACGCCGGCTGCGTCGTCAGCTCGCCCGCATCACCTCCGCCGGCGCGTCTCGTGTCGTGCTCGCCGGACTCTCCAATGTCTACGCCGACTACATCGCCACGCCTGAAGAGTATCAGGTATAACATTACTGCCGAATTAACTGTTCAATTCTTTACGTTCTGTCTGATTAGTTTGATAACTTATATATCGATGAGGATGTCTCACTCGGTGGGAATAGGACAAACTAAATTATGATAGCTCACTAGCGCCCTCGTGTAAACGTAAAAAGTGTCTCTCATTGGGTTAGATTTGTTTTATTATAAAAACAGTTTTTTCGTATATGATAGGTTTTACTTGTATTTTTTTTAATTGACTAACATAGTTATCTTAATCATGTTAAAAGACAAATACTAGAACATTTTGTCCAATCCAAAGGCACAGCGGTACGAAGCAGCGTCCACAATATTTGGACCTCACACACTCGACATCTACCTCAACAAGTACGTCGAGCTCACTCGTGCACTATTTGAGGTCAGTTTATACTTATACAATTACACAACTATATAACCATATCGATAAGCAAAAATTACTGACTTCCATATATATAAATCCAAGCTCTTAAATTAATTCTATCAGTTTTTTTCCTAATTTTACCTATACTGAAGGAATAAAAGGCCTATCACCCGGGGATAGTGTAGGTTCAATAGTCTCGGAGCTTATTTAATACTTACAAACAATACTTTCCTCTTTATAATGTTAGTATATATAATATATGTTACCTTCTGTCTTCTTCCAGGGTAGATCAGTAGACCCTGGCCCGCAGCCGCCAGACTTCAGTGACCAGCTGATCACCCTGGTGCCGCCAGTGCTGTGGGACGCCGCACCCTGGGGCAAGGAGTTCGGGGACTGTCTAGTCCAGCCACAGAAGCAGTACAGCCATGGAGACACCGTCACTGCTACTTTTGTAAGAGATTTTTTTTTGTTAGGCAACAGTTTTATATCATCAGATTCTTAAATAAGATTGCTCGCACTCCTTAGTTCATCACTGAAGCGATAAAGGAAAACTAATTTTAAATGTTTGTTTGCCTGTCTATCTGTATGTCTGTCTGCAAGGCCGCATTTTTTCCGAATAGTCTCCGGAACGGCTGAACAGATTTTGATGAGATTGAGACGGGAATATAGCTATAGCTAATGCACGCGGGCATGTTATAGGCTACTTTTTTTAAATTTTCGCTGATAAAGTTCCAGGTGACCGCAAGTCCCAATATACTTTTTATCCCGACTGGAAGGACCAACTGAAATGTCTGGTCCTTGGAGTCGGATGCGATGGAGCGGTATGTTGTTGTCCAGGTGTCAGGTCACCCGCGCAACAGTGTGAGACATGGTCGCTGGTATGCTGCAGTGGAGCGCCTGCAGTCTGCACAGGACGACGCCTGGGTCACCATCGCCACTGATGCTGACTGGGAGACCAAGTAAGACATTCTTACAGATGACAGATGATAGCGGACTATTGGTGCTGGAACCACCTACTTGGTGCTTTCAGATTTTCTCCTGATCTAGAAGCTTTCCATTGGTCTGAGTGCTTTGAAATGTTTACTTTGTTTTTCCCAGTTTTAATCTAGTTACATAAATTCAAGACCTAGGAGAAGATGTCTAGAAATTCTAAAGAAAAGTATCTTAAATAATTAACTTAATAAGGGTTGCTTAATTTTTTTTTACTTCTGTACTTTTATAACTTTCGTCAGAATTAGATTTGGTGGATTCAAAGGATATGAAAGAGGAATGTCTATCTCTATCCACAGGTACATATGGCGTCGCAACTCAAAGATATTGGGTACTAGCCACGCGGAGATAGAGTGGGAGATCCCCGCGGGTACTCCTGCAGGTACATACCGCCTCCATCACTTCGGTAACTACAAATACATCCTCGGTGGTATCTACCCATACAGTGGCTTCTCTGACAGCTTCGAGGTCACATAATGTCACACTTAAACCCCATTTCCACTAGCGCAACAATGCAACAGCTACGCCTCAGTAAAATCGCATCGAGCAAGTGGTCATATGAATTCGTCGAATTAGTTGGATGCTTAGTGGATAATGGTTAATAATTACACACTTAAACCACATTTCCACTAGAAATACGCGGAACGTTATATTGGCGCGCGATTAAGTCAAGTTAAACAGTCGTACATTTCATCGCTTAGTGGAAATGGGTTTAATCATTCTTCATAGTCAAGAGATTAATAACCAATTAATTACCAAAAAGATATTTTGAAGATATTTTTTGTAGTCATAATTTTAAAATATTTCCCGTGGACGGTTACGTCAAACAGATGACTTACAAACTGTGGGTTTCTGAAACCAAAATTTCTATATAAAACATGTGATTCTTGTCATTTTTGACAAAACAGAGATAACGATATATTTTAAAAGGAGATTTCGGTCTCAGAAACTCACTAGTTACTAACAAAACCATTTGTTTTGTTTAAGTAATATTTATGTTTATCCTTTTTTTAATCCAGTAGTAAACCTACTGTTTTATACAAAGACTTGTAAAATATTTCCATATAGGATTTCTTTAAGATACTTAAGTACAAAATATTTATTAGTACTAGAAGATCAAACGCAAATACAATGTTTAAATAAGACAAAACATTCGTACTCCTTGAATAAAAAAATAGCAATATGTTTTGAACAGATCTTAGATATTGGAAATGCACGATAATACGTAAATGTTTGACGTATTAAGGTAAGCGTACATTGGCTCGTATCGGATGCACCGGACAAATTAAACGGATTTGCTTTGTCTTTTGACGCAGTGCTATGTAAAATTATATAAAGCAAACTAAAATCTGTTGCGTGCTGCGCGTCCGGCGCGGAATAATGAACGTGTACCTTTATGGATAGAGACTATCTTACTTAAGCTGTTTTAGGATTAAACATATAACTAGTCGTGTCCTTGCTTATAGATAAAGTATATTGTAAATTATTATTTAAGTTATGAATAAACGTAATAAAATTTTAAAATGACAGTTTTATTTATTACAACATTCCTAGTTCTTGAAAAAAATTCATTTTATTCTTTTGTCACTAGATGGCGTTATAAGTAGCCGTGTAAAATTTATAAAAGGACTTTTTTTAGTCAAAAGAAGCTAAGAAACTAGAAACACTCAAAACAACGCGCTGCGCTTTCAACAATTAGAATATATGGTACAATTTTCTCTCACCATTTTGTTGATGAATGTTTATTAGAAGGTATCTCCGGAATGTCTTAACTTGGCACAGATGTAAAACATAGTCTGGAAGAGCACATAGGCTACTTTAAATTTTTTTAATTCCACGCGGACAGAGTCGCATGTAGATATAATATTTTCAATTACATCAAGTAAGTCTTCTTTATGTAGTGAAATTACACGGAATTCACGATAACCTTTGCTTCTAATAAGATACGATGAACACGTTTTAATGAGAAACTGTCATATACACGTTTCTTACATAAATAGTTCTGATTTGAACATTATAAACATCATTCGCAGTGAAAATGAAGATTTTATTATTATTAAGTCTTATTTTATTATATTGTCAAAGTTATCAATGTGGTGTTGTTAAAGAATTAGTGGAAACAGCGGCTAACGAAGTGAACAAAATTGCTGGATATAATGAAAATATCGCAGCGAATAAAAGTGAAAATACATCTGACGTACAAAATAAAGATCAAACTATTGAAATAAACGCAAAAGAATATGAGAATACTAAACATAATATATCTACTAAGGTAATTAATACGGAATTACAAAATTCAGCAAATATTCAAAATCAAAGAAATAATACTCCTGTACAAGTTAATGTTGACATAACACTAGTTGTAAATTACAATAAACCAAGCACGCATCCAAACGAAGAATCTAACAAAGATAATACTGAAAAAAATCATCCAAACACAAATGAAACTGTAACTGATGCAAATTTAATTAATATTGACCAAAATTCAATTAAAATATCGACCGTAGATGTACAACAAACTAATACGAATATCAAATTTCCTGGACCTATGAATACACCAATTATAACTTACAATGATGGTGTCGTAGTTGTAGAAACAAATACTGTAGATGACAAAGTTCTATTTCCGGACAGCAAAATTAACGTAACTCTTGGTTGTCCGGATGGAATGATTTCAACAGAGAACGGAGATTGTATAATTAAAGGGAGGGAAAGACCTAAGATAGTGGTAAATGGAGATAACGATGATATACCTAGGTCTGCGTTTTCTGGTGGATGTTTTCAAGGTTACGCGAGAGCATTGGATGGATCATGTCAACAAATTATTGAAGATTAACGAAGTTGTTTAATAGGAATTGATATTTTTATGAGTGATAAATAGTATCAAGACATTTCTAATTTTCGTGCAGTGTTCTTGATCTTAATTGGATTATAAAATAACGTAACCATACTAGTACTTATTAAATAAGTAAACTGAAAGAAATACTTTAATAATAATGTAAAGCTTATTTATATCGAATAAAATATTGATTTATAGCAATAAGTTTTGGTTTCTAAAATGAATAAAAAAACATTACCTAATTAGTTGTTTCATTTAACACACCGTTCAGGCGTGAAGTGGAAGCTATTCTGCGTTTCGTCTGATGAGTGTGCGTCCCGGAGGCCTAATTTAGTCCACTTTCCCTTCCCCACCCTTTTTCTCATAAGAAAAGGATGGGAAGTGGAAGTGGACTTTCCGGATGAGAGGATGCATGGAAGGGAAAAATATTTTCTTTCTGTGCATCCTTTCCTCCGTCGATTGAAGGTAGGCAACGCATATGCAATTGCGTATGTCTATGGGCAACGGTCACTTCGCTATTTCAGCGATTTCAGGTGGCCGCTCGCTCGTTTGCCACCTTTTGATATAAAATAAAAACCGAAATTGGGTCTTGTCTATGGGGGCTTTTTAAAACATTTACTGTTAACAGGGCCGTATTCAGTATTGTGGGCGCCCAATAGCGAAAAGGCGCCCTCCAACAATAATACGTACATGTGTAGGGGCGCCAATAGCTGGCGCCCCCAGTGCTTGTCTCCCTAAGGCATGGAGCGCTAACAAACTCGGGTTAAGACGGTCGTAACTATATGAATGATAAAATTTTAATACATTTGACAATAGCACATGTTTTTTGATAATCCTGATAAGATTAAGCTCATTATCATAATAGTCGATTAAGTACATTTTGGATACTAATAACTGAATATCAAGTCGCATTAGTTACACACGTTTTTATTTATGATGTTCATTTTAAGAAATTAATTTTTTGAAAAGTTACAAGTATTTATGAATTAAAGTTTTAAGTTTAGTTTTGGAAAGTGTGTTATTTTATTGGTAAGTATTGCTTATTTTTTTTTTAAATCGGTAGTCAAAAATCCTTTGGCCTAAACTCGTTCAAGTATTACTCTAAGAATGTATCTGGTTTTATTTTGGTGGGAAATTCCTTTGATTGAAATAAACAAAAGTTCACATAAAGTTACCTGTTAACTTTATCTTACGTTATTTGTTGTAAATAAGATAATCCCAAGTCCATTTCTATTCCGTAATTTCCATGTACTTATCCCTATTTTGAACTACTGAGGAACAGAGAATTTTGATAAATGTAGTTTATTTCTATTATGACCAGGATTATCGTTTAATATTCTCTGCCCTTGTGTAAATTTATTTTTAACTTAGTTGCTAATTACTTCGAAGTCAGACCCTGTCACTGATATAATATACTTATGTAAAGTCACCAAATCGCAATCATAAATACATTCTTTTATGTTCGTAACTAAATAAAATGTTTAGCAGTAGACTACTCGTAGATATTTACGTTTCTTTGACCCATCCGTCCGTTCTATTTCCATGACCTTTAGTCATGAAGTTAGTTGTAAATAAGTCCTGTTAATCAGATTATATGGATGACCTTGAAATTACTGATTTAATGAGTACAACGGAATGTAGATTACCTTTATCTAGTTGAGTCCTAGGTTGCGTTAATGTTAATTTGTTTTTATTATGTATCTGATAAACAGCGACAAACACTATCTTTTTAAACGGATTTCTATTACTACGGAGGAGCCTTGACAGTATTTTTTTTGTTACAAAGTTCAAGTATACCAAATTGGACAGCGATGAACTTCATTAATTAAAGTACGTAGTATTTCAACCATCATAATCCCTTTCTATACAAGAAAGTACGTAAAAAGAAAACTACGATAGAATCTGCACAAAACTATTTATTTCTCAGAAAATGGCGTTACCATTAGCTGGTAAAATAATCATACCAATACTGGTCCTTGCTGTGATCGGTGGAATGGTGGCTCTCATAGTGGTCATAGTGAACGACCAGAATGATTCTGCGAACACCACTTTGCCACCTCCCTCTACAACGCCGTTAACGACACCCTCTACGAGTTCTACACCGTCGACAGAAGGTACTACAAGTAGCGCTACGCCAGATACAACTACGGAAGGCCCCATCGCCAAGGAAACTCTGTACCAAGTCGGCGTAGGCATCGCTGATATGACAGGGCCTTGTGTCGAGGTCAATTTTGTAAGTACTGATAGATATTTAGTTAAGTTGCTTAAATATATATGTGTATTTAAAATGTGTTATTAATTAAACTCTTAATTAACCGTATCAGTGATAATGGAAATAACATTATCTATGATCTATCAGAATAATCAGCTACAATAATAATGGAACAAATGGATTGATTTCAACGGGAATGTTTCATTGCTTTACAATTCTATTATTATAGAAAGAATTTAATTTACATTTAGATCAAGTCCTTTAGGCTTTTCATCTGAGAAGCGCACTACAAGCATCATATTCCGTTGTCGCTCAAGGTCTCTGATGTCCCAAATGCAAAGTTATTCCACAGCGTCTTTATTCTTTCTCTCTTTTGCTTGTCTTTATTTCCTGTCCATCTCAGTAATTGTGTACTCTTCCAGATGGGATACGCGGAGATTGGTCAGTCAGGTCGCGGCCTGCATACAAGGCAGTTCTCTCGCGCCTTCCTCTTCGTGCAGGGTGACACCAGGATTGTGCTTGTCACCGCTGACGTGCTGGCCATCGGTATTGGCGTCAGAAGAGAGGTGAAGTTGGATTTGTAAATTTAAATCTTAAATCTATTATCGGGACGATGGAACAGTATTTGAAAAGTCCCAGAAGATTGGCTTTTGCATAGTTTTGCATAGAAATATAATATTAATTTTTGATACTCATTTCTTTGATTATAAATATTGACTTCTGATATGACAGGTGGTGAAAAACCTTCAAGAATTATATGGAGATATGTACTCGCTGCGAAACGTGATCCTGACAGGCACACACACACACAGCGCGCCCGGCGGACATCTAGTCGACCTGTTGCTAGACATCACCATCCTCGGTT